TGGACTCACACGGTGGTCAACGCTTTCTAGTGGAGCGTATCTTGAACCACCGTGACTATTCAGGATCAAGGACGAGTTACCTCGTCGAGTGGAGGCGGTATTCACCCGCGTGGAACAGCTGGGAGCCCCGCTCCCAGCTGATGATGGATGTGCCCGGTCTCGTTCACCAATATGACGAGACTCATCCGATTGGTCCGAGGGACCATCGGTAAACACGCGCCCTAGGCGCTTGTAGACGGATTGCAAGTTTGCAATCGCGTCCCGCATCTCAGACGAGATGTGTGCCCTTCCCCAGGGTGAACTTAGGGAATACACGTTCCTATGTGCACGCTGCGAGTTGTCAACACAACTCGCACAAGGGTCTCCCCATGTGAGGCAAGGAATGTCTGCCTCACTCGACAAACAGTGCAACCGGTACCTGGCACCGGTTGGCGTTCGCTTTTCAAACCTGAGGCGTACCGCTTCAAGTTTCTTGAGCCACCCTTCTCGTCCAAAATTCTTTACGTTTTGGACGAACGCATTCCACGCTGCCAAAAGCGAGGCTTTGTCACGCTTTCTGTTGCTGTTGTACCATCGATGTCTAAGGAAGGCATCGAGATAGAAGTATTCTTCAGCGCGAAAGTTGCTCGCGCTGGAACTTAAGCCGTGAAGCTCAGTCGCATCGAATAAGGGCATTCGATGGTGTTGGCTTGTCTCGTGAGACAAGCCATTGATAAGCCGTTCGGGCAAACGCCACGGCTTCAGCTCATCACGCTTCACGGTGGTACCTTTGTTGGTACCACGGTTGTCAGTATGACGATGGGTTGCACCATCGTCAGGTCGCTCGTGCGAAGGAGCACGAGCTGATTTCGGTGATGAGCAAACATACTCATCATCAGATTCGTCATCACTGCCGAACAGACTGTGTTGCAACTCACGAGTCCGTTCGTTCGGCAGTGGCCTTGGCGAACACTGAGGCGTCGCCGGTGAGCGAGACGCCTCTGCAGCATTGCCCGAGTCAGACACGTCTGACTCGCCAGAGTGGATGACCTCAATGTCGGAATCATCATGCGCACGCGGTGTTGTACCGCGTGCACCTGCAGCACCTCTTGCTGCAGGCGAAGAACGAGCAGCAGACGACGAATCGTCTGCCGCAGAAGCTGGCACAGGCACAGACTCTGTGTGCCTTGAGTCACCCCGCATAGACATGTTAACTATGCGAGGTCAAGCGGAAAGTGAATGGAACTGACCCAACAAGTGCTCCCTGTCCCAATGGCGCCCAACGGGTGGCCGCCAAGTTTTCGATAGTCACACAGTGATTATCAGTTAAGGGGGGGGTGATGTAACGGGGCAGCCCGTTAAATGGAATTGTCACTTTAAAGAAAGTGACAATAAAGAATATTAAGTTGAATATTCTTTGAACAATATCACCGATAATGGTGGTATTGGTGAAGCGACCAAAGGGTCTGCTCATTGGTTGATATCGTGATGATATCAACCCACCAATCGCAGCAGGACGCGCGCAATGAGTGGTGACGAGACGTCACCATACACTCAGTTATATTAACATAATTAAGTCAGGTTAAACAGAGAGACAGTAGCAAAAAGACTTAATTATATTAATACAACAGTTTTACTTTTTCCCTCCCTACGGCTCCTCGTTCGCCTCGTGTACGTCTGTCGGGGCACCCGAAACCCTTGCGTTAAGTTCACGCAAGGGTGTGCCCCGTTACAATAAGACTTAATTGTATTAATACAGTTTTACTTTTACCAAGAGACTAGTCTGACTACTTAGTCTCCTTTCCTTCCTCTGTGTTTTCCCTAAAACACCTAGCAGGGCACTGTCGACCACTGTCGTCAGTGGAAGTATACTCCGTACTGGTCAACTAGTACGTAGTCAACAGTGCCCCGCTACACTTCGCGAACAGTTGCGCAATGTCGTGTTCACCCTTCGTCTTCAAGGCTGGATATTGTGATGATACAAGGTAGCTGGTGCAGTCACCTTCGATCATTTCTCACCTACCCTTTATCGTTTCTTCCAGTTTCATCTGGCCCGCCATGGATCCTCCTATAGCTGTCGCCTGTGGCAATGTCGTGCAGTTTAAAAGTCAAGAGACAGTTCAGTCATAAAGTGATGCTATATATCACTGTCCAAGCTGTTCTTGTAAAATGTGTATCCATACTATCGCGTTGACTGAACACAGCTTGGCATCAACGATCCTTCCAGGTGTCTCGTGGCAAATTCTGATCGTGGTATTTATGCCAAACCCCTCCAGATGTATGCTACACGTCCGTTCCACGTCGATGCATATGAGGCGGTAAGAATTGGACGCTGAGCATGTTATTCTTGTATCCATAGCTCCAACGCATCGCTTGTTTACGGTCTTCTGAGCGGCGTACACGCTTGTTTGCTGGGTGACTCAAGTGATGCCAATCGAGACACAATCATCAAATGCCAACGGTGCTGCTTTCTTTCGTGCTACTTGGCAAGTTTTGGAATCGGTTAAAAAACGTCTACCATTGACAGCTTTTCGTTTGAGGACAAATGAGGACAACAATAATTCTGTGAGTGACATGGAGCTCAGCGGTACACACTGTGCCATCGCACTAGTGACGAACACTGGAGACGAAGGAGGCAGAGCTGTCAGCAAGAGACAACTGAAGAAGATGCGTCGTGCGCAGAGGGATCCAGCAGAGTGTCAAGCGAAGAAGCACAAGTCCAAGCGAGAAGCCAAGAGCGCTAACCGCTTCCAGTGTGCGACGCCCAAGTACTCATTTGCCGATGGTAAGGGCGGCGAAGGAGTTATTGTGTATCCATTTGGTGGAACGAAAACCAGTGTGCAACAGAGACAAACAAACTAACCTGAGTGGACTCGGGTGGTCGCTGCAGGGTATCGAATGGTCGATCCATACGTGTACGAGTTCCGCACATTTGCCAAAGAGAGGTGGTACGGCCGCGAGCTGTTGGAGGTTTTTACCAAGGAATTCGGTGCCAATGCGCCAGAGTATTACGTGAGTGTTTGACGAAAGAGACTGTGGGACTATGGCTGACTGATTGCTGGATGAGCGTGATATTGTGTGTAGAGATTTGCCATTGCGTCGGGACGCATCTCGGTGAATCGCAAGATCGTGCCGGCCGATACTATCCTCAAGAACGGAGATTTGATCATTCATACGGTACCGTTTGCGGAGCTTGCGGTCGTCACTTTATTGTTGATCTTGCCCGAGTGCTGATAGCGAGGTATGTGTCAACATTGTAGGCGCATCGACACGAGCCTCCAGTATCCGGAGATGAGGTGGCAGTAGTGCACGAGGACGACGAGCTGGTACGTGCATGAGTAAGTACTGTGCGTTGCGGCACCTTGTATTGACCGTCCTGTGCCTGCCAGATTGTCGTGTCGAAGCCACCTTCCATGCCAACTCACCCGTGTGGTGCGTACCGCCACAACGCGCTGCATTCGATCCTGCAAGCCACCCGGTCAGACCTTCCGCAGCTTCACGTCGTTCATCGGCTTGATCGACTCACATCTGGTACGATGAAAAGACTGATCGGATGTAAGCCACAAGTCATTCGTTCTGACTCACTCGGCTGCATCAGGTGTTGTGCTTCTAGCAAAGAATGCGGCCACGGCGAAGTCTCTGTCGTTGACCATTGGTACGTTATGATCTGAAGTTGCAACGACTCTTGTGCAATCAGTTTCCTGCCTCGTGCAAGCGTATGCGTCTTCTAATAAACCTTCGGATTCACTTTTGTGGAGCAGCTAACCGTCAGGCGACCAAGACGTATCTTGCGCGTGTGCGCGGTCTGTTTCCGGGTATGCTCGACCAGGCGGCCCAAGAGATGCTAGTGAGCAAAGCCAGAGCCACTTGTCCTGCTAGTGTGCTTACCTTCCCAGAGGAGGACGCTATCGTTATTAGCTGCCCACTCCGCTGTCTTTCAGCTCGTGATGGTGTGTGGGAGTGCCATGCGAATGGCAAAGCGTCGGAGACCATAGTGCGTCTCGTCCGCGCAGATAAGTCAACGAGCCTTGTAAAGTGCAAGTCGGTCACAGGAAGAACGCACCAGATCCGTCTGCACTTACAACTCATTGGATTCCCCATTGCCAACGACCCTTGCTATGGCGGAGAGCTGCATTTTGGTGAAAGTGCAGAGCGCGTCGACGAGATTGCAGCTGCCAAGCGCAGCAAAGCTGATCTTCCGCCGAAAGACTCTGTGGACTACTCGACGCCGCGGAAGGAGAACGAGAGCGAAGAGGAGTTTATGAGACGGACATGTCCTTGCTGCTACGTTGGCGAAGCCGAAGCTTTCAATGAGGCATAGCTGCATTGCTCAAAGATTTGGCTACACGCTCTGCAGTATCAGGTACATCTAGCAGAAATCATGCTGGCTATAGTGCGAGTGTAACTCACGTGCTGTTGCGTGCACTTTGTCGCAGCTCGATGGTCGCGTGTTTACCGCACCTGAACCCGGCCGCGCACCTGAGCTGGGCTGCTCCTCTGGGTACGGTCTAGACCATTACTCGCTATCGTCGTCTTGTGCATGCGCTGGACTCGCTTGAAGAAGGCGACCTTGAGATCATGCGGATACTTCACATTTGCCGTCGTAGGCTCGCAGAATGGGTCAGCGAAAAGATGCGAGTTGCGTCCGATACCGTGCGATATGGACAGAAGAGCTTCCTGCACCCGTCTTTGCCGGTGGTCCATTCCCAGCCTTTGGATCGCGCAGATGAAGCAGGTACTGTAGCTCGTCTTTGTCGCATTTGCATAAAAGCGTGCTCTGCATCAGATAAAAAAGCAGACGACGTCCAGACCAGTTGGCGGAGTCATCGATAAGTGGACCGTTATCATTGACATAGGTCGTGGTTTGGGCTCTACTCCCGTATGGGTGGAGGAGGTCGTGGATGTGGACATTCAGCGGGTCACCGTGTGTCCTTGGACATCCAATGCAGCTGGTTACAGTCTTTCGATCAGGGTATGATGATACGTACACTACATAGTACGGACGCGGCCATTGTCGCACAATGGCCACTCATTCCTACATTCGCCACGCCGAGCACTGGTTCATTGTCGCTGGACTTCTCAAGTGGTTCGTTCGCCTGCCGTTGTGCGCACTTCAGCCCAGTGCCTTGGCCACGCCATCTGCAAGTTCAGGCATGCAGTTTTCCTCCATTGTCGAGCTGTCCGCGTGTGTCGTGCCGCTGATCATTGCTGGCCTGGCCTCGGCCCTTGGAGACCGCGATGGCCTCCGTCCTGTCGCTCATGTGAATGGTTTCAAGACCGTCAAGACAGATCCACGGGCTCCTTTCCTCGTCGAGCAAGAGCTGGAAGAGCGGGCCCCCTTTTTCGGTGCTGACAAGGTCGACAGACTCAAGTCTTATGTTCCCGTCGTTGAAGCCGCTCTCACTCGATCGTCTGGGTCAAGCAGGACCGCGTTTCGCAAGCTGGGGTACGAACTCGAATCGCTGATTCGCGAGCCGCACATGGCCCCATTAGCCAAACCTTCTGGCGGTATTAACGTGCAACATGAAGGGCCAGTCGACCCTCGGTTCAAGGGGGGAAACATAAGCTTGTGCACAACGTGGGCACTCTGCGGCTACGTGACAGTCAAAGCCGAGCATGGCGCCCAGCTCACACTGAGGCACTTCAACGAAAGAACGATGTCGAGCGATGGGGTGCACGAGGTGACGAGAAGCAGAAGGTGTCCAGCACACGCCCGTAGCTTTCGCCAATCCTCAAACGGTTTGTGCTACCGATTGTTTGGCTCGACAAGACGCAGGGGTTGACTTCCAAGGAAAACGACAAATTCCCATGGAAACATGACAACTCGTTGACTCGACCAACCATCCAACAAACGAAGAAAGATTCCATCGACGCGACAAGCTCGCAGCTGCTCGAGCATCCGCAGTCTGTTTCTTCGTCCACGAACAAACTTAATTCTGAACGTGCTCGAGAACAAGATTTAAGAGGGGCTAAACCGGTAGTACACTTCGAAGTCGCAGAGGACGCTATGGGGATCGATCTGGAGCTCATGTACGCGAAGCTGAACAACGACAATGAGATAACTCAGTATGATCATGCGATCACCGAGGTGCTTCGGAAGTCCTCACCTGCTGCATTGTTTGGAGAAGGCGATTACAAGATTGCGTGCGAGAAGCTTAAAGAAAGGCTGCGCCAAGAGATTGATTTATATAAGATGACACTAAATGAGCATGGTGAAGAAGAACTTCAACGGATAATTCACGCTCGCAAGGCCAGTGAGGATAAACGAGATGAAAGGCTGGTGCTCGAGAACGGACAGTTTGCGTCTTGGTTCATGATGGATAAAGCCGCTCCTGTGCCTGCTTCAAGGAAAGCTCAGGACGCCGATGAGTTGGTTGAACATCGCGATATTGCACCGGTAGTTATGGACGACTACGAGAAGTTTGTTATTCGGACGCTCAAATATTGTCGTGGACTTCACCTTCCTCTTCCTACGGACAGCGAAAAGTTTGAAGTGCGTCTAGGTTCTGCGTCTTTCGATGCTGGCGATCACAAGATTTTGTGTAGTGAGCTTGAACGTGGACTGCACGATGATATCTTCATGTACAAGAACCGTCTGAGCTTGCTGGGCAACGTCGCTACTCAACAAGCGATTCAGGGTTTCGAGGTTACTCGGGATGGCGCAACACTGTACTCGGGGATGGAGGGAGGGCAGTTCGCCCATTGGTTCATCATGAGAATTGATCCTCAACGTGCTCGACTACACGCATTGAGTGTGTCTTCGTCAGCAAAAAATAATGAGGATGCAGAGAATGTCATGCTCAAGTACAGAATGTTTATTGACAAGCAGCTGGTAAAAATTCGTGGGCGTCACCTTCCTCTTGCTGCGGGAGGCGACATGCCTCCTGTTTTCGTGCCTTTTGGAGACGACGGTCACAAGCGTGTGTGCGATGAGCTCAAAAGAGATCTGAAGAAGAATATTGAAGACTATTCGCGACACCTGACATACAACGGCAATGTCGCCACTCAACGTACTATGTACAAGTATAGGGACGACGAGTCTGAGTTCAACCGACAGTATGCGGCGGAGATTGAGAAAGGGCAGTTCGCTTATTGGTTCATCAACAAAGTCGATCCCGGCGATGTTCGACGACAGGCTATCTCCGTAGGTAGAACGCCAGATGATCGCGAAATCGCACACATTGTTGCGAACGAGTATACGCAGTTTATTCAACAGAAGCTTAAAGGTCTCAGCACGATCTAGAGCTCTCGTGATGCGCAAGCTCACAGCGTGTAAGTCGAACCTTAATATAGCGAGTTTTGCGGCACTCAAACTGTAGTCCACGTCATGGGCGTGCTTTGTCGATTATCTCACCTGCTCTGTTGAATGTCTTGTTTGCTACTGTTTTGCAACTCAATTCCCTGGGTAGAGCCAATGTGTAAAGATTGGTTGTGCACTAATGCAGGTGTCTTTTGACTGGAAGCCACGACGACGAGAGATTCACGAACAATAATAAGAGTACACGTACGACGAGCCGCTGCTTCCAGCTGCTCCAGCTCTAGCCACCCGAAGCGATTGGCTACATACGGTGGTAACACGCACTGTTGTCAATTTGATTGTATCGATTCAGTTTGCAATCATTTGATGTGAGCGTAGTCTTGGCTATAGTCGGCAATTCATGACAGGTAGGTAGGTAGACACATACATGCTGGCTCCAAGGCATCTACAGCTTTACGACATTCCTACTTGTGGTACATAGCATAACTGGCGCCGGTTTGCGGAGACTTTGCCGAGGAGACACCGGGTCTGCTTTCCACGCAGTTGGCTTCCGACAAGAAGAAAACGGCATGTGATGGCAACTTGGCGCGACAAAGAAAACGCCGCCAGTAATGATTTTCCAAGAAATGCTATACAGTAACGCAGCTTTAGATGTTGCAGTGCTTTGACAAGAACGAAAAGAAAACAAGCAGGTGCTGCCAATGGGTCATCCAAGTGTAGCTATGGCTTACTCTGGAGCAGCCCGGGCACGATCTCGGACGAACATGTGCTCCACAGCATAAACCGCACTGATTTCAACGAGCGACGTGGAGCTAGGAAAGGGTTTGTGTAGCCCTCGTGCTTGTTGGCAGCAAGGAGCACTCCCGGTTGCAGAAACTTAGATACACGTGGACCAAAAGGAGACTTGCATTCATATGGCACGGGCACGCAATGTACGCGGGGCTGCACACGGGCTTTGGTATCAGCATATAATCGACCAACATGCAAACTCCACCTTCATGTCGGACCATGCGAAACATAGTCTGGCCAGCGCACCACCACAACTGTCAGCAACAGTCACCAAACGGCTACACCGATGGCTTGGAACGATACAAGTGCGTGCAAAAATGGATTGGATCAAAGACGATGAGCGCTCCGGTCGGTTTGCATCACAACCCTCATGCATATAGCGGAATTGGTTGGTGGTTGAGGGCAAACAGACCGGCGTCGCAAACGTGGCCTCGGAAAGTACAGACATCTTGCAAACAATGACAGCGCCAATCCGACAAACGCTTCCTCTCTCTCTCTCTCTGTCCCATCGACGAATTAGATACGACGCGTGCATGCGGGAGTGGCTCGTAGTGACAAGGTGACTGCACAGCCATAGATGTTGTCATTGAAGCTAGACCTTATCTCGTCCATGAGACCTGCGCTGTCTTGACTTTACGAATGTGTTTGTCGTGTAAAGTCAGTCCGAGCAGCTCGACTACGGCCTTCGCGTTGGATCGCACGCCATGTCTTTCCTGGTTTCATGAAGAAGGGCATGACCTGATTGAGCTGCCACACGTTCACGACTCGGTGAGACTTCGATTCCAAAGCTTAGTTAGAGACCCCACTACGCTGACCTAAGAAACGAACATTCGCTTGATGGCGTGTACAAAGCTCAACGGCTCTCTCAAAGTTTAGGTCGTATGCACACTGAGACATTCGCGTGAACACTGTGCCCCCACGCGTGGATCCGGCGTTAACGTACCGTCAAACTATAGCCTTTCATGCTTTGGGAAATCGCACGACATGAGAGTCCTTTTACAGCAGCGCTCACACGAAGCAGAGCACTAGGGCTTTTCCGGCAGTTGGACACCATCCGGCTCAGACAATAGTGGCAGACTGGCTTCAGTATCGACATTGCTTACTACCGTTGGAAGCCCGAGCGTTTCCAACTAATGAACGTGTAAATGATTTCGGACGCAGCAATTGCGGGTCCGTATCGGAAGCGCTACGACACATTGCTGTGAACCCGACTTCCGTAGTCGTTCATAGGATTCCTTGGGCCTACTCGACAAGATACGTTGAAAATGGTATTGCAAATAGATTGAATTCCAAGCGCATTGCCAGTGTCATCGAAATCTACAACATACTTATAGAGGCAGCAGGAAAAACGCTCACGCAATTCAAAGGACCTAAAAAGAATAAGTGTACGACTACCCACTACAAGCGCCGCTGAGCGGCACTCTACTCCGCAGTCTTGGCCTTCTTCTTGTGCTTTTTCTTCTTCTTCTTCTTGTCAGCATCAGCAGCAGGAGCCGCCACAGCCGCCACCTCCTCGTCCACACTCTTGAGCTTCTTGTCTTTCTTGGCCTTCTTTGGCTTTTCTCCGACTGTGTCGTCCTTGCCCTGCTCCACTTCGACATCCTCCTCGACGGCAGGACGCTTCTTCGACTTCTTGTCCTTCTTTTGCTTCTTGCCTCCGCTTGCGGCTGCCAGCTGGAGCTCTTCCGACACCTCCTGCATCACGTCGGCATTCTTACGAGGAGCAGCACCACTCTCGTAGAACGCAAGGCGTTCTTCAACCTGCTCACGCATTTTTTCACCATACTTTGTAGTGGGCTCGTCAATAAACGAATCGATGCGCGAGGCGATAGCGCACTTGTTCGCCAGGTAACGTGAGATGCGGCCCTTGTTCTTGGAAGCGGCACGACCAATAAAGGTCGAGTGAAACAGCAAGCCATACTTGGGAGTATTGCCGCGGGTCTTCAATGCACGAAACAGAGCCTTCTCTGCACCCAAAATCTGCACAGTGGAGGCTGGACATTTGGCCAAGTTGGTCAGCGAACCAGCATGCGAGATGAGACGAGCGCCAACGGACTCGCCAATAAGCGAAGCAAGGTTCGGGGCAACCGATGCCATCTTAGAAACCAAGTACTCGTGCAGCTGGCGACGGTATTCGGCTAGCTTAATGAGACGAGTGGTAAAGTTGTCGACATTAATCATGTCGATTTCCGACATGTCCATGCCCATTGAAGAGCGAGCGGCATGCAAGATCTGCTGGGCCTTGTCTTCGTCGAGAACAATCCGCGCCAGCTCCTCGAGCGAGTCTTCACTCAGCGTGTTGCGATTCTTGATAAACGAAGCACAGCGCGCATACACGTAGTTGTCGTTGACAATCTTGACCAGCTCCGGAAAGTGCCACGAGTACCACTCACGCACACGCATCGCAAACGTGTTAATGTCCTTGTCCATTTGGTCGAGCAGAGCAATCGCCTGGATAATCATGTTGTCGGCACGGTTCACATTGAATTTGACCTTGGCGCGCGAGTACGAGTGACCGAGACCGAGCTGCGCCTTGGCAAGGTTGCCTTGGGCCAGCTCCTTGACAAACGTGCTAAAGTGCATGCGCACGCCGCGAACAATCTCGAGCGTCGTCTCGCTCGTGTTGCATGGCGCGTGCAGCTCATCCGAGATGGCCTGCGCGAGTCCCTTGTCCTGCACGCCGAGGGCAAATTTGCCCTTCTTGCCGCTCTTGACCTTGGGGAGATTAATCTCGAGAAAGTTCTTGAGATCGTCGCCGAGCAGTCCTTCCGAGATGTTGTTGATGTTCTCGAGCGCATTCTCGGCCGACGTAAAGGGCTGAAACGCTTTGAGCTTCACAATGCGTCCAAACGAAGACACGTCTGCGATCGCAGCCTGCACCTCGGCCACGAGACCGCCAATCTCTTCGCTTTCGACGACTTCAAAGAGTGCATAGCCAGAAGCCGACTCGAACAGCACAAAGGTGTTGGCTCCCTGAATGGCATGCGTTGGAAAAGAGAAAACCAATTAGTACAGTGTATCCACAGAGACCCCATCGAACTCGTCGTGCAAAGTGCACGGTCAACAAGAGTCTGTAGCCGCAGGTATGCACACGTCACGCCTGGCCGTTCACTCACCATGTTCGCCCTGACTGCCGATGTTTGCCAACTGTCCGTGGGGGGGTACGGCGCCGGGCTGTCAGTGATTGCTGGCCAGCCAGGCCAGCGCTGCATCTCATTGGCTGGTACGGATGAAATGAACCAATACGATTGGCAGTATTTCGCAGCGAGTTTCAGCCAACGGGTGGTCGATGGAGCGGCAAACGAGTCCTGCTTGATGACAGACAGAGTTAGTAGCTCTCATGGCTCCACCTCAGAGTAAACACTTTCTACTCTCGGACCGATTCAAGACAATGTCGATTGTAGGTAGAAATGGGCTACGAAAAAGGGTCTCAGTGGTTAGAAATGGGCACACGCACTAATTCTTCGCCGTAGCCCGCGGTCGCGACACCACGTCCTCCAAATCGGACAAAAAGCTCCGACCCCAAAAACTCGCAGTGTGCGTCTTCACGTAGCGATGCAGGTTCGTCTGACGGTATTCGCGTTCCATGGGCGGCAACTCCAGTGCAAACTCGAGCGCGTTTGCCACGTCCGTCGTATTCCAGGGATTCACACGGATCGCACCTGATAACGACTGGGCACTGCCCGCAAATTCGCTCAAGATGAGCACGCCTGGCCCTTCACGATGCGGCTCGCACGGCTGACACTGACAGATCACGTATTCGTGGCTCACGAGATTCATGCCGTCACGGATGGACGTCACGAGGCACGCATCAGCGAGATTGTAGAGCGCAACCAGTTCACTGGGGGCCACTGGCTGGTGAATGTAGTGCACTGGACAATGCGTCAGCGTCCCAAATCTGCCATTGATACGACCGACCATCTCGTTCACGCTTGCTGCGAGATGCTGGTACTCTTGTACACCCGTGCGAGACGGCACGCCGATCTGGATAAGCACGACGTTCTTGCACCGTTCTGGATACAACGACAGAAATCGCTCCATTGCGAGTAGTTTGTGCGGTATGCCCTTGATGTAGTCCATCCGGTCAACTCCGATGATGACTTTGCATCCCGCGAACTTGGCTTTCAGCTCTTGAATGCGTGTTTGCGTGGCCTCCGAGTTCAACGTATCCTCAAAGTGTTCCGGGTCAATCCCGATAGGAAACACGCCAATCGCCGTAAAGTGGTTGCTAAGCTCCACACCTTTTGGAGAAGTCGATGCACCTGGCAGACGTTCGCAGGCGGCAATGAAATGGCGGGCATTATCGTACGTGTGAAACCCGAGCAAGTCTGCGCCAAGTAGACCTTCTAGAATCTCGTCGCCCACGGGCAGCGTTCGATACATTTCATCCGTGGGAAAAGGAGTGTGAAGAAACCAGCCAACTTTACAGAGCGGGTGCCGCGACCGTAGCAGCGACGGCAGCATCATCAAATGGTAATCATGTACCCACACAAAGTCCCCCTCCCGATACACTTGGTTCACAGCCTGCGCAAACCGCTTGTTGGCCAGCTTGTAGGCATCCCACTGTCGAAAATCAAACTTCTTCTCGCTCCCTGGTCGGAAGAGCGGGAGTGGAACGTAGTGGAAGATGGGCCACAGAATGTCATTGCTAAAGCCGTTGTAGTAGCGCGCAGCAATTTCCTTTGACAAAAACACCGGCACGCAGTTGAACTCCTTGGCCAGCTTCTCCCGCACTTTGCTCTGTTCGTCATGGGGAATCTCTTCGCCCAGCCATCCAATCCAGATAAACGGCACTTGGTCGCGAATCCCATTCAACGCCGTCACGAGTCCGCCCGAGCTCATGGTAAAGCTCCACTCCCCCGTCGCTTCATTGCGTTGAAACGAAATCGGCAGTCGATTCGACACCATAATCAACCGGTGTCGTGCGTCCATCAGCGGTGGCACAATCTCTTCCTGCGGTTTATCCGTTTGGATCTGCACCATCGACAACTGGCGCTGCAGCTCTTGAATGTTCACCAGCAGCTCTTGTTCTCGAGCGTTCATTTCCATCACGTCCTCTTCCTCGTCCGCTGCAACGTCCCCAAGCGCCACGTTGACGTCCACGTTCGCCGTGTCGGGACGCTGCACTGCTGCTGCGGCCTCGTGGTCCAGCGACGGGGGCAGCTCCGTGGCCGGAACTTGGCGCAAGGACCGCTGCTCTTCGGTGACGACGGTCGCCGTCGTCGTCTCGAAAGCAGCGGACGTGTCGTTTCCCCTCATTGTCGTCTCCAGCGGTCTGTCAAGTGGCTACACACACACACACAAACACACAGATGTGAAGTCAAATCAATCAATCGATCGATCGATCGATCGATCTGTTTGTGACTGAGTGAGTAAGTGAGTAAGTGACTGAGTGAGTAAGTGAGTAAGTGACTGAGTGAGTAAGTGAGTAAGTGACTGAGTGAGTGAGTGAGTGAGCGAATCAGATTGTGCGTCGTCAGCGAAAGATCTGCGACGAGGGGTCGACCCCATCCGGCGCAGGCGGTTGTCGTGCTGGATGCGACCGTATTTGACGTGCGCCACATTAAATCGACCCACTGCACCCACACCATCAAATTGCATCGATGAACCTGTCGTCGGTCACGGGCTCTTCCTGACCCGCTCAAAACGAGTCGTCCAGCATCGACGAGGTCGAGTCAGGTCCTTCAGCGCGGCGTTGACCGCCTCCACGTGCGTCGAGATGAAGGGAGAGCGACTTGAGAAGCCACCGGCGGCGTCCGGCAAATCTGCCGCTTGAGGCTGAGCTCACACTTGAATTATCGACCAGCGTGACACGTTGTGCAGAGATTTTGAGATACTGTTGAAGCATTTTCGCCTGGAAAATGCAGTGTGTGTGGACGTGGTGGGCTGTCGCCGTGCTGCTGGCGTCGCTTTCCGCTGTTTCTACTGGTCAAGATGCCTCGGTATCATCTGGAACTGCTGCTATTGTCCCCTCGAGTCGTCGGGTGGCTCCTGTCACGGAAGCTTCGGAGCAGATCGCAGTCGGGACTTGTGGTCCCCGTCTGCGCAAGTCGTGGGACATGCTGCGCCCCGTTGAGAAAGAGGTGTACCTGCGTGCGATTGAAAAGTCCATGGACGACGGCTACTACATCAAGTTTGTCGAGATCCACACGGAGCAAATGACGACGGCAGAGGCGCACAACACGTGCATGTTTGTCTACTGGCACCGCTTGTTGCTCTTGGGTTTTGAAAACATGCTGCGGAGCTACGGTGGCGAGTTTGCGTGCATCACAGTGCCGTACTGGAACTACGTGGACGACAACCAGCGCTACATGATGGGCGCGTGTCGAAGCATGGAGGAGTGTTCGCCGCTCTTGCGCGAGTTTGGCGGATCGCGCCGAGGCACCGATGGGTCGATCAACATCAACGGATCCCCTATCAGTGGCACGTGCGTCGTGACGCCGCCTTTGAATCACTTTTGCGAAGCGACGCACCTCAGCAGCGAGGATTGCGCACACTGTGTACCCCGAGGCGACTGGCTAGGCTCTCCCTTCCCACCAACCACGACAGTGAGCTCACTTGCGCGCCAGCTTTTCGCGACGCCAACCATTGCTGGTGTCGTGGCCAATTTGGAGCTGGGCATTCATAGTACGTGACCGAAAAAGCTGAACGGAATGGTGCTCTGTCAAACGTGGCTAACGTCATGTGCGTGTGTGTCCTTTTGCTTTTGTACAGATACTATCCACAGCGCTCTCTCAGGAGCGATGGGCGTTTTGGAAGCCCCAGCCGATCCGATTTTTTTCTCGCACCATTCGACGATCGACCTGCTTCATTCAATCTACTACAAGTGCGTAGTTGGCAACACAGTTTCGATTCCGCTGGAGCAGAAGCTAAGAGACCCTCGGGTGTTTACCGAATGTCCGCGACGTCAGCCACTTCCGGTGAACGCGAGGGATCAAAACATTTTGTCTCCGCAATCAAGTGCCTTGCTACGGACGGGCGAAGAAGGAGTGAACCCAATGTCAGTGTTCTCGCGGAACAACATGCTGGCCCCGTTTTTCTCCTCTCTCCCGTCGGAGTACCTGAGTTTCTCGGACATTCGCGACATTGGTGTTTTCAGCTACAATTACGAGATGACGGGGCTGCTTGCCGAAATGTTTACTTCGTGCCCCGGTGCGGATGCCGCACCGAATGTCGCTCGCTCGCCATTCCGTAACCTGGCAAGTTCTGCCAACGCCACAGAGGACAAGCCAAAGTTTGTCGAAGCAGTTATTGTTCCCAGCAACAAGACGGTGGACAACTGGTACAGCGAGGCGCTAGCTGCAGCATCAAACCGTTCGTCGATTGAGACTGTGATGACGGAGGCTTCGCAAGACTCACTTGAGGCGATCCGAGATGTCGAAAAGATGACTTGCGTGTTTTACGATGAGTGCCGTGACGGTGTGCACGACTTTAGTGACAACTTCCGTCACAGCTTCCATGCGAGCGGCTCGTCGCCGTGCACCACCATTCTCGCCGACATCAAGAGTGGTCGTGATCACATTCGGACGCCTAACTGGCGCTCCATCTTTTTCCGTCACATGAAGTGTGATCGCGGAACTTCGTGATGTGTACCCTGTTACGACAACCATGCGAAGAAGATGTAATACCAGAGCGACCTTCACTTATACGCGGTGAATTAACTTGATGACGACACACACTAAAGCTCTTCTATGACCTCTTCGATGAAACAAATAAAACTCGAATCAATGTGCTCCTCTTCCTCCTCACTGTGCTCTCTGACAGCTAACCGCTTCACGGTACCTTCCAGAATACCAGTGTTCAAACCGATCGACATTTCTACGCAAAACACGCACTGAAACTCGGTCTGCGGCAAGAAAAATGAGCACGTGATTAGATAGACATCATCAGATCGGGTCAGCTTGCATTTCGCGAAAAACATACAGCCAAGCGTACCATTTCACCGAAGAAGAAGAACTTGACCAGCTTATCCACGCAGCCGCTCGCCAAACAGCTCATGCGGTTGTCGCGAAAAAGCTCAATAACTTCATCCACTTCAGGCAGCTCGTTGAGTGTAGACGAGAGCGACGCACTACGAAAAGCAATTCACAGAGTAACAACATTAGTCGTCGCACCACGCACAAACGGGTACTCAGCCAGCAACACTTACATTTCGATAGCCGTTGCCCAAACCTGTTCAAATCTCACAGCATCAATGACAGGACTCTCGCACAAATAATCGCGGGCTGACATTACGCCCGCCTCAGCATCCCCGACATCATCTTCATCTTCCTGAGATGTTGCGTGTGATGCTGTTCGAGACGCTGAATATGACACGGTGCACGAAGCTAGGTGCGTCTTGACGGGTCCAGCATTCCGTTCGCTGAGTTGCACCTGTCGCACAGTGTTCTGACCTGATTCATGCACTTGTCCATCATTGTGTAAGTGTTGCGGCGGCAGGGGTGTCCCTGCCTGCGCTCGCGCTGCAAACTGGTGAAGTGCGTGCACAAGAATTTCCTTGAAAATAACATGCCCGTTTCTGTAGAGAAGCGAGTTGACAATCCACTTCAGCGTCACTGACATGTCGGCCAAACCCGGCATGATCGAAATGTCCACCAAAAAGATCGTTCCTTCGACAGCCTTCTCACACACATCAGACATATAGTAAGTAGTGCCACTACATAGTGGTCACTGTAAGTCTGCACAGCAGCGACTTCAACCGGGCAGCACATTACCTGCTCTGCGACAAAGAAGCAGTGTTGCTGTCCAGCAACCTTCTTGCTAGATACACACAACAATCGATAGGACTGCAAAAAGGCTTGCAAGTCGCTCGGGTCCAGCTCGTGAGCATCCATTGAGCCAAGATCCACCGACCATTCCTCGCTACAAATGCCCACAATTAGTCACGTAGCATGATGCCAACAACATGTGTCATGAACGCAACGTACGATTCATCATTTGCTGCTTCCCACATTTCGCCCAGATCACTGCCATCCACCGTTGGGTACTCAACCAAAAAGTCATTCGCCGACACGGAGGGATGTTTGTGCATGGATTCAGAGGCAGACTGGCTAGGAAGTCGACCAGTTGAGCTACTTCTCGAAGCAGCGTTTCCCACAACATCAGAGCCCCCGATGAATCCGAACGCAGATCCGCTAGGTTTATCGGACTCTGGCGCTTGTTGCTCGATGAAGTTAAAGCCGGACCCGTTCCTGCTGTTCACAGCTAATTGTGCTGTGTCGTTTCGAGCCACTAAGCTGATTGGAGGCGCATACTCATCACCTGTAGACCTTGACTCGGACTCTCGACCATTGCTGGATAGATGATGCGACGTCTGAGAAACGTTGTCGCTCATAGTCTCCCTGGAACTCATGCCAAGTTCGCCAAGTGCACCCACGGAATCGGTACGGTCGGCATTCTGGATGCCATGACTAACTGAGTCCATTTTCTTTCCTTCATCACTGATAGATCGCTCCCTGCCATCGCGGTTGTTAGCCGTGACTGGGCATGCAGAGCAAACGTCTTCTTCAGTAGAGTCCATGTCATCAATCTGCGGGTTAGATGGGTCCAGCCGGACAGCAGCGATCGCTTGCAAAAACTTCCGAGCATCGGCGCGATAAATGTTGTCGTTACGCTGCTGGGAAATGTGCGTGAAAACGTCGAGGTTTTCTTCAAGCTCCGCTACGCACAAATTTTGCTTTAAAAGCGCCATAGTCGCGATAAATGCGTTACGGTGGACCTGTACTCGAAAAAGCCATCACTACAAGTCAGACACTTCGACAATCTTGCTCTTACGTCGCCGGCTGTGACGTACATGACTGGCATAAAACTCAAATTTGGCCTGCAGCCTCTCCACCAGCGTGTCCGCCACACCCTAGAAGTCGAGACAACCAATACAATTGCCTTTTAGCATGCGTCTTGATTCAGCGTCTGCATTTCAATCATCGCACCTTTCGGTCTTCATCGCCGAGCTCCAATACACCAGATATGAACGCAAGCACCTTCTCGTCCTTGAGCGTGCCGTAGCATACTGCATTCACTAGCTTTGTCGCCGCTGACGAGGCCTTCGGCTTGCTATGGCTTTTCTTCGAAACCATGGCGCTGAGACGCACACGTGGAACACGCAACTTGCGTCCCCACGATTTCTTCACAGGGGCGCTGTGGCCGCTCGAGTCAGCACCCTTGAGAATGTATACACGGACGCTCTGTCCAAACCGAATCACGTCTCCATCTAACAGCAACACCAGATAGATGTCCGTCTCTACTCAGCACTGATATTCCCATTGCCAAAAGTCGAAGAAAGTGCGATCCACAAAGCAAGAAGCACTTACCGTGCAAAAGATACGGATCATGAGGCGGAATCTTTTTGCGGCTCACGTACGTTCCATGCCGCGACATGAGGTCCACCATCTGCAAAACACAACCAAGCAAACGAGCCAATACAACACCGTCGCACAAGCGCAACCAAGCCGTCAGTACTTCCATCCAAACTGCAACCACAACAATCCTGTCCCCGTTCTCTACAGCAGCAGCTTGGACGCACGTAAATGCCGCCTTCGTGGTCGTGGATCACTGCCGCGTGCTTCCTCGAGACCGACGGATTGCCCAGCACGTGGTCGCAGCTCTCTTGGTCGCGTCCGAAGAGATTCACCAGCTGCGTCGCCACCATGTACGTAGCACAGTGTCGATTGTCGCGAAACGCCTCGAGTCGCGCATGAGCATTAGCTTCGAGCGGCATACACGCCCTGTCACAATAGTGCATACAATGGGCACAAAAAGACCACACAATGAGCGACTTCAAGAGACGATCGAAACGGCGCGAAGCAGCAGCTGGAACGCAAGTGCACCAGTCGGGCGGGTGGAAGGCAGCTGTGCTCGTGCACAGGAACGCAGCGCGTCTCGGGGTGTCCATCACACCGCAGCCGCGCGCGCTCACTTTGTTCGAGAGCTCCTGACAGTGCGCGTTCGCCGCCGGCTTAGGCCAGCGCGTCAACAGCCGTGTCGCTGCTGCGTTTCATTGGTAGATATTACACGAAAAACGGACGCGACGAGTGGCGATTGAGCGAAAACCAGCTGCTCGATTGCCAGTGAGTGAGTGAGTGGGTCTTTTTTTAGTCGGGCAGAGCGCGTGCAGTTCTTTCGAGAGCTACGCCGACTCGAGGACCATTTCGGCCAACGCCGGCGCTCGAGCGTATGGGCCTTGAGCCAAATTCGCTCTTAGCTTTTCGTGCAGCGAGTCGTCTGCGATTCGATGGCCAACAAACACGTTGAGACCCCCCACACACATGGCGTACAACAGGCGGTGACGGGCAGAGTGTCAGTTAGTCAGCGGCCACATACATACACAGAGTCGCGTATTGCATGACGTATGCAGCTCACCCAATTGCGACTGGAACGGCGAGGCGAGTACGGCGTCGAGCACGGCAAATTTCCACTCGCGCGCGTCTTTGGTCGCTTCGGTCGTGCGGTCCAAGAGGAACTCGAAAAAGCCGCCGTACGATCGCAGCACGCGCATACCCCATGGATTGTTTTGCGCCGCCACGGAGCGCAGCACGTGGAACACGGACGTTCGTAACTCCTCGAATGGCTGCTTCAGCGTGTTCATCAGCAACACCATCGTGGACTGCTGCGCGCCCTCGGGCCCGAGGCTGTTGAACAAGCGCTCGCACAGGCTCCAGACTTCTTGTGTCTCATTTGGCACGTCGTCGAGCTGCCTCACGAGTCGCGTATGTGCCCCGAGAACACGCGCGATGGAGTGAAAGCAGTTGCTTTTCACGGGCAGCTTTGTACTCGTACTGAAGCTCATCCACTTTTGACAAATGCTTCGATGCTGAAGCAAAACGTGCATCTCTGCGCACACACCAGCGCAGCACATTTGGTCAAGAAAGACTTTGATTGACGAGTTAGGGCAATACAACGTGACTTGCTCACCTTTGTCCGACGTAGAGCCGAATGCAGCGAGCGCGTCCATCGCTGCAATCTGCTGCAGTGAATCCGAGCTCTGCATTTTGCTCTCCACCGTTTCCAAAAAAGCGTCTGAAAGAGTGGCATCGCCCCAAGTCCACGTCTTGATGTTGACCCTCGCTGCTGTAGCCGAGATCTCACCCACGAGTCGAATCACGTTTCCTCCGACAAACGGATCTAGCGAGATGATTAGTCAGTCTATAATGCACGTGGTTCTGTCCACGATATGGGTCTACCTTGCGTCATGTCCAACAGAGTTTTCAGCGTTCCTGTAGTATACCCAATGGACGCATGAGCTGCAACCAAATTCGTTTTGGTGGCCAAATTGAGCACTGATGAACGTACCTGACTTGACGATATATTCGACACCGATCTTCGTCTGGCAGATTGCCGGGACCAACTCAACGACGTTCATCAAGAAAAGAGGATCATTGGATCGTAAGCAGTCCACAACCTGTTTACAACGTACGTAAGTCTATGGACAACGTGTTCGACAGCTTTCCTCCATCACTCACCAAGTCGATGGCACCCACGGAGATGCCATATTCCACATGAGTATCCTCTTGAGCGCAGATCTTCACGATCGTTTCCAAATACCGCATATACTCGATCGAGTTCAGAGTAATTTCACTACGCACATACACACCCATATCTTCTGGTTCATACTGCTGGCGCATCGACATCATGTATTCTCCTTACTCGACATACCTGCTCTGCGCTCTTTTCTTGAGCGAGTCCAGCACTGCTCGGTAGATTCCGCTCTCGGGCATGCTTGCGAACTACAAGAGGTCAACGGCCAATTAGCATTTGACCACGCCGCAACCCTCGAATACGCCGTACCATTTCGAGCACCGTCGAAGCCTTGGAAGCGACATCAACATCGTCATCGCTGACCACGCTACATAATCGCTCTAGAACCAAAGGGTCTGCCTGTGTCATCCATTGCAGTAGCAGCATCACGGCTTGAGGTCACGGTGACATCAATTTCTAGCACAACGGTTCTTCAGCGCGCACCACAGCTTTATACTGATCCGGCGACGGTCTTCTGCCGAGTTGCGCAATGAACTGGTCCGCCACGAGCTCTCTCGCCTGCTTCTCCACGTGAGACAGACCCGCCAGCACGAAAGGAACGGTCTGCATCGACACACATAGCAGCAAACAGCTGAACGTCAGAGGCGGCAACACCAGCCGCCACAACTGTACACCAATTGGCTTCGTACGTCTGGATGGAAAAAGAGACTCGCGCCGTCGGTGCTGGAACTTAGCACGCGATTGATGCACTTGCACGCCTGCTTCACCTATAGTTTGGCATTATAAATAGTAAATACCAGAGAACTGTCCGAATTAATTGTAGCCATAATGCCAGTCCGAGCGCGTGGAACCTCTTTGTTCGATCCGCGGTCGCTGGCGTCCTGTAGACACGCAAAGAGCGCTGCGATCGGGACCTTTGCCAGGAACTCGCGCACCAGTGCGTTCTCCTGGTCCAGGCCGTACATGTGAGCAGACGTGGCGATGCTCGTCTCGTGGAAGCGCGCCACTTCTTGCCACGCAGCGGCAGGATCCATGGCCAGACGTTGTTTCGAGCTCGTAGAGGAGTTGATGGGGCGACGGGTTGGGAGATGAGGTGGAGGAAGTGGGATAGGAATACAAAGTTCGTTGGGACTGCGGCGGTATTTGGATGAGTCTGTTTACGATTGCATGGATTTGCACGCAATGGCAAAGAACTCGGCTTTTGTATGCGAGTCACTCGTATTTGCTTAGATGCAGAAATGTATCGCTTTTGGTACGGTCCAACTTGTCAGCTCAATGAACACCATCTTTTCGGCAGAAGAGCTGTTGTGCGTGCTGTTGTATCGTTCACGCAAATGAACAATATGTCTTTTACGTACAAGTGTACAAAATGCAGCGCACGAAGAACAAAACGCTACAAAATACAACGACAAGTTCTAGAATTTATCGCAAACGGTATACCACCAGACACCACATTCTGAAACTGCTACGATGCTGGTATGCTATTCGAAGGCAAGTTTCGTGTTTGCGATCCCGTGTCTGTGCGAATAGACACAGGATAGGGACCACGTTTGCAAACATCGGATCTGTCGTTGAGATGTATACTAGCATCGTAGCAACTTCAAAGTGCGGCCTGATGGTGTATCCGATCTCCTTCCGTTACAGTGGGCTTGACCTTCCCATTTCTAGTGATGTCGAAAAGTCTTGACTGCATCATAATTCGGGTAGTTGGAATTCGTGACCCTGATTGTGCTCGGGAACAGTCTATGAGCATTGCGGACTCGAAAAAGAATCGCGATATCGCAATTGTGTCATTGAGCATACTGGATCACGATAGGCTCATGAGTTCTTATTTTGTCTGCATTGACACACAGCGTAGTTGTTAAAATAAAATATATAAGTTTTGTGGCAATCAGATCGTGTCCCATGTCTTGTTGTGTACATTGTCTGTCGTCGTGTATTCTCTCTATGTAATGGCCTCTTTGCAGCTGTCACGTGTTTCGATTACTTGGATAGAGTTAACGTACAAAGTTCACTGAACTAATGCGGATGAATTTTGTGTGAAAGTGGAGGGGGAGAGAGGTTTCAAAGCAGTGCTGCTGGTGTATGAAACAGGAGTGAGGTCCAGAGCCCGCAATCAGGCACGGTAACTCTAGTCTAGTAAATTCAATAGTTTGGTAGACTGAGGATTGTAAGGCGTCTGACAAGTATGGGGAATGATGCTTGTATGCGCTTATACTCCATATAGAGTGTGCGGGTCAGCGCTGTCAGTTTTTGCTATTCCAACTTTCGAGCACGAAACTTTGTGTACTGCTCAAAGCAGTTGTCAAGAGTGTGGGTATGCATTGGTGAAATTGTGACAAATAATCACGAAAAGAAAAAAGGAAGGCACCTTGCAAGATGTAAAAACCCACCTTGCAAGATGGATAATTTGATTGGATAATAAGAAATCTACTGCGAAGAAAAATTTGCAACGCAACAATGGTTCATTGTGGCATTGCAATTACATCTACGAATATACACATGCATTGGGTACTTCTCCTGCATTGACGAATCTATTTGTACTTCCTTCGTTGCTTGCTTCAACACAAAAGTACGCGACTTCTTCATTTCGGCAGCACTATATGCTCTAAGAAACATTAGGCTGTTGGCGCTTCGATCCTAATTGTACAAGGCGTCCGTCGTCGTCTGCGCGGGTAGTATAAGAGATAATAGAAGGCAAGTGGTGCAGATATTTTTTTATCATTTCTTACCTTCCTACTATCGTTTCATCCAGCTATAAATGGTCCGACACCGACACTCGTGTACCTGTCGCCTATGAAGGTGTCGAAGGGGAACTTTGACTTTGTCGATATGCTTGCGATACAACGGCGCGATTGTCGCGTTAACCGAATCTTTCTTCGTTTCTCGAATCGCATGTCGCGTCGGGAAAAGTTGCCATGCCCTTAGATTGTTTCGTTGTGTGCGTTCAAAACCGTCATGTCACCTTGTCGAAGATCGGGTGTTCATGTTGTAAATATAGGGCCAAGATCATCGATATCGATCGTAGTATTGTCCATATTCCCGTGTAAGTCGAGGAGGTCGTGGATGCGGACATTCAGCGGACATTCAGAGGGCCAGCATGTCTTCGCGTACAGTATGATGATACGCATTTTACCAGTCTCTCGACTCAGATCTTGGGAAAAGGATTGGACGAAACCCTAGTGCAGTGTCTGCTGGCTACATATGTTTCTGCCGAAGCGAACCAACTGATCGTTGAGCTACAATCACCTGATCCGACCCTACAAACATTGTTTCGCATGTCTTACTATGTCGCGTGCAATTTAACACGTTATACGCCGTGTCAACTTCGCATGAACAATAGGTACATCAAATCATATCGGTTGCCAGCCACTGCGGCCATACGAACGTCTTATATCGGGCTGAGACTCGAAGTCGTGACAGCGATGAAACATAGAGAACTGTATTCATGGTGATGGTTTACACAACGGAGGGACCTTGGCGCACGTCGCCTGCTTCATCGCGCACCATGTCACAGACTTGGCCTTTCCAGACAGCGATGGCGACTGTGTTGACCCCAATGTGCACAGCGACGAAAGGCACCGAATGTACGAGAGCAAGTGATATTCCCACAATCGTCCGCACAATAGTTGGACGATCAGACTTTGCAGCCGGCAGCAGACGTCCACGATCTGTAAGTCTGCGACAGCAAAACACATCCATGCAGTTCAGGAGTACCTGCTTTATCTGCGCGATCCAAAGGCTGGAAATGGACCACCGGCACAGACGGGTGCAGGAAGCTCTTCTGTCGATATCGCACGGTATCGGATGTAACTCGCATCTTTTCGCTGACCCATTCTGCGAGCCTACGGCGGCAAATGTGAAGTATCCGCATGATCTCAAGATCGCCTTCTTCAAGCGAGTCCAGCGCATGCACAAGACGACGATAGCGAGTAATGGTCTAGACCGTACTCAGATGAGCAGCCCAGCTGGGTTCAGGTGCGGTAAACACGCGACCATCGAGCTGCGACAAAGTGCACGCAACAGCACGTGAGTTACACTCGCACTATAGCCAGCATGATTTCTGCTAGATGTACCTGATACTGCAGAGCGTGTAGCCAAATCTTTGAGCAATGCAGCTGTGTCTCATTGAAAGCTTCGGCTTCGCCAACGTAGCAGCAAGGACATGTCCGTCTCATAAACTCCTCTTCGCTCTCGTTCTCCTTCCGCGGCGTCGAGTAGTCCACAGAGTCTTTCGGTGGAAGATCAGCTTTGCTGCGCTTGGCAGCTGCAATCTCGTCGACGCGCTCTGCACTTTCACCAAAATGCAGCTCTCCGCCATAGCAAGGGTCGTTGGCAATGGGGAATCCAATGAGTTGTAAGTGCAGACGGATCTGGTGCGTTCTTCCTGTGACCGGCTTGCACTTTACAAGGCTCGTGGACTTATCTGCGCGGACGAGACGCACTATGGTCTCCGACGCTTTGCCATTCGCATGGCACTCCCACACACCATCACGAGCTGAAAGACAGCGAAGTGGGCAGCTAATAACGATAGCGTCCTCCTCTGGGAAGGTAAGCACACTAGCAGGACAAGTGGCTCTGGCTTTGCTCACTAGCATCTCTTGGGCCGCCTGGTCGAGCATACCCGGAAACAGACCGCGCACACGCGCAAGATACGTCTTGGTCGCCTGACGGTTAGCTGCTCCACAAAAGTGAATCCGAAGGTTTATTAGAAGACGCATACGCTTGCACGAGGCAGGAAACTGATTGCACAAGAGTCGTTGCAACTTCAGATCATAACGTACCAATGGTCAACGACAGAGACTTCGCCGTGGCCGCATTCTTTGCTAGAAGCACAACACCTGATGCAGCCGAGTGAGTCAGAACGAATGACTTGTGGCTTACATCCGATCAGTCTTTTCATCGTACCAGATGTGAGTCGATCAAGCCGATGAACGACGTGAAGCTGCGGAAGGTCTGACCGGGTGGCTTGCAGGATCGAATGCAGCGAGTTGTGGCGGTACGCACCACACGGGTGAGTTGGCATGGAAGGTGGCTTCGACACGACAATCTGGCAGGCACAGGACGGTCAATACAAGGTGCCGCAACGCACAGTACTTACTCATGCACGTACCAGCTCGTCGTCCTCGTGCACTACTGCCACCTCATCTTCGGATACTGGAGGCTCGTGTCGATGCGCCTACAATGTTGACACATACCTCGCTATCAGCACTCGGGCAAGATCAACAATAAAGTGACGACCGCAAGCTCCGCAAACGGTACCGTATGAATGATCAAATCTCCGTTCTTGAGGATAGTATCGGCCGGCACGATCTTGCGATTCACCGAGATGCGTCCCGACGCAATGGCAAATCTCTACACACAATATCACGCTCATCCAGCAATCAGTCAGCCATAGTCCCACAGTCTCTTTCGTCAAACACTCACGTAATACTCTGGCGCATTGGCACCGAATTCCTTGGTAAAAACCTCCAACAGCTCGCGGCCGTACCACCGCTCTTTGGCAAATGTGCGGAACTCGTACACGTATGGATCGACCATTCGATACCCTGCAGCGACCACCCGAGTCCACTCAGGTTAGTTTGTTTGTCTCTGTTGCACACTGGTTTTCGTTCCACCAAATGGATACACAATAACTCCTTCGCCGCCCTTACCATCGGCAAATGAGTACTTGGGCGTCGCACACTGGAAGCGGTTAGCGCTCTTGGCTTCTCGCTTGGACTTGTGCTTCTTCGCTTGACGCTCTGCTGGATCCCTCTGCGCACGACGCATCTTCTTCAGTTGTCTCTTGCTGACAGCTCTGCCTCCTTCGTCTCCAGTGTTCGTCACTAGTGCGACGGCACAGTGTGTGCCGCTGAGCTCCATGTCACTCACAGAATTATTGTTGTCCTCGAGATGGGTGGAAATGAATGGCGTCGACTGATTGTGTAGTCGGCAATAAACGTTATATTGCAATAACCAAAGCAGTGTAAATAATGCAATGCAACGAGCTCAAAAACCTATTCCAGCGTACTGGACGCGAGCAGAGGAGTTGTCACTGTCGGCTTCTTGAACAGGAGCGACTTGCTGTCAACGACACTGAAGTCCGCGGGGAGAGCTGGAGGAGCGTAATACCGGAGCAAGAGCGAGGACGTGACGACGGACACGGACGAAATGGCCATAGCCCCACCGGCAAACATGGGAGGAATAGTGAAGCCATACGGATACAGCACGCCTGCAGCCAGAGGGATCAACAGGCAGTTGTAGCCTAGAGCCCATACGTAGTTGAGCCGGATGCGGTCAAAGATCGTGCGAGACAGGTCCAGTGCCGTGATGACGTCGAACAAGTTGGCCTTCATGAGGACCATGCCAGCCGTTTCCACTGCGATTTCCGTGCCACCGCCCATGGCAATGCCCAGGTCCGCTTGTGCGAGGGCAGGCGAGTCGTTGATGCCATCGCCGACCATCGCAACAGTGTGCCCAGTGTTCTGGAGGTGCTTGACTTTTGACGACTTCTCGGAAGGAACGACCTCGGCCATGACGTTGCGCCGGCTGATACCAAGCTGGTCGGCAATCGTGTATGCAGTGCGCGCGTTGTCGCCCGTGACCATCCAGACCTCAAGACCCATCTGCTTGAGCTTCCTGAGCGTACGCATCGACTCCTTGCGTGGCGCATCTGCGACGCCAAAGACGGCACTAAGCTCACCGTCAACGCCCATGTAAATTGCAGTCTTCCCAGCATTCTGGAACGTCAGCGTGGCTTGCTGTAGCACGATGCCTGTCCAGCGCGCCAGACCATTGTCGGTCATCCACTCTCGGTTACCAATGACGACTTTGTGCTCACCAACTGTGCACGCAATGCCTCGTCCAGAAACGCCCTGGAAACTCGTCGGCTGCTCAAGTGATGGCGCGATGAATTTGGCGTACTCGATGATTGCCTTGCTCAGCGAGTGCTCGCTGCCAAGTTCAGCTGACCCAGCCAAGAGAATGAGCTTCTCGGTGCTCAGTTTCTTGCTGAGCACAACCACGTCCGTCACGACAGGCTTCCCCATAGTCAGCGTTCCTGTCTTGTCGAACAAGATCGTGTCAATGTTATGCGCAGCCTGCAGAGGCTCGCCGCCTTTGATCAACACGCCGTGCTGAGCGCCCACACCCGTTCCGACCATGACTGCTGTTGGCGTGGCCAATCCCAGCGCACATGGACAAGCAACCACGAGCGTTGCGATGCCAAAGTTGAACGCAAACACAAACTCGCTGTCCATGGGCGGAATCAAGCTCGATGGCACCACTTTGAAGATACACAGAATGTACCAGGTTGAAAACGTCAGGAACGACAACACCAGTACGGTCGGGACGAATATGGATGCAACGTAGTCTGCATATGCTTGGATTGGCGCTTTTGACGCCTGCGCGTCCTCCACAAGACGAATGATCTGGCTCAATGCAGTATCGTTGTCCACACCAGTCACCTTCATGTGGAACAGCCCGTCGACGTTGACTGTCGCCCCCAACACGCGGTCACCATCAACTTTTTTTATCGTCCTCGATTCGCCGGTCAACATCGACTCATCGATTCGACCGTCGCCGTACACGATGACACCATCAGCAGGGATCGATGACCCGCGGACGACCTTCAATATGTCTCCACGCTGAACCAGCTCAATGGGAACAACCCGTTCTTCTCGAACACTGCTTCCATCTTCGCTGAAGATGAGCAACGTCGCCGATTTGACCTGCAATGCCATCAACTTGCTCAATGCTGCCGACGTTTTCCCTTTTGCAACCGATTCCAAGAACTTGCCAAGTATCACGAACGAAAGCAGCATCGTTGACGTCATAAACATATCTGGATTGGCAACACTTGCGTCGCCCAGCGAACAAGCGCGTACGATGCTAAGAAGCCCGTAGAAGTATGACGCGTTGGAGCCCATGGATACCAAGAATGACATGCCCAGCGTCCGGTTCTTCACCCCCTTGTACGCATCGACGTGGAAACGACGCGCAGCATAAAACTGGACTGGCGTGGCAGAAACCGCCACGATCAAAGTTTGCCACGAGACACCTGAAAAGATCGCCGATGCCAAGCTATGTTCAGTCGACGTGATGTTGTCGAAAACCATCATTATCGCGAGGACTGGGAACGTAAATAGTATTGACACAAGAAGATCGGCGCGGTACCGCGCGATCTCCTTCGTGCGCTGGTGTCCAAGCGCTTCCTGAGCCCCTTTTCCAGACACATATGACGCGTCGTACCCGATGTCGGTTACAGCTTCAACGAGCGTTCGAATGCCGACCACGTTTTTGTCAAAGCGGACCGATGCTTTCTCGGTTGCAAAGCTAACGGTAGCAGAAATGACGCCTTCAGTTTGTATCAAAGCATTTTCGACTGAGCTAGAGCACGAGCTGCAAGTCATGCCTCCGACGAGAAGCGTAGCTTCACCATAGTCGCTCTCGTCAAAGTCAACCGAAAGCGCCAGGTCGTCTGGAAACGTAGAAGACGCTGTATACGACTTTGCGTCGATGTCAACTGCAGACTCTTCCGTACAAACAGCTTCTCCTTTTGCGCTTTTTGGCCTGACAGCCCGGCCGCGAAACTTCGACCCGGCACGTCGGACGGCTCGGATCAAATCGTCGTCGGTAACTTCCGCTTCAGGGTCTACCTCAACGGTTGCCCTCTTTGCAGCAAGGTCGACGGATACCGACACAACACCCCCTACTTTGCTGAGGGCTCTCTGGACTTTTCGTACGCATTTTTTGGCGCAGGTCATGCCTTCGATCTCCAAGGTCATTACGCGGGACCGAAGCAGCGGAACGTACGTCATAGCATCGAGCGTATCGTCCACCCCGCGAACGACTTCGATCAGATCGCGTTCGGTCAGTGTGCTGCCTGGGTGAAGCAACACAGTGGCGCGCTCCAGTGACAAGTTCACCTTCGCAGTCTCCACGCTTGGTACTGCATTCAGAGCTTTTTCGAGTTTATTTGCACTATTTCCAGCGGATGGCATGCCCCGGACTGCTAGAACAATCGAGCGTGGCCCACTGAAAGGAGATGCCAGTGAAGCCGTGAACTTTTGGTCCGCAGAATGCACGGCGTTAATCAGGTCGGTTTCGGTCAAGCAGCTGTCCGTTTCCAAGAAGACGGTAGCCCGCTTCGTGTCAAAGTCCACCTTGGCGCTCATGACTCCTTCGGCACTCGACAACGCGTCCTGCACCTTTCTCGCACAGTTCGCAGCGCAGCTCATGCCGTTGATCGTGAGATACACAACACGCGAGCCGCCGTCGTGCTTGAAGAGTTTGTAGCACGAAGCATCAAACTTCTTTCCGAGGCTGCGCACCACTGCAACCAGCTCTTCTTCGTCCACTTGACTCTCGGGCTCTAGAATCACCATCGCGCGTTTGCTGTCGAAGTCGACCGTGGCATTGGTCACCCCGTCCATGTGCTGCAATGTCGTCTGCACCTTTGCCGCACAGCTCTTGGCACACGTCATGCCGGTGATGTTCAGCAAGATTGCACCCGAAACCGAGTTCGTTCGCTCCTTCTTTGCCTTTGCAATCGACGCGCTGAACCGCGCGTTCGCCGCGCCGATGTACTTGATCAGATCGACCTCTGTAGCAGTGCACCCTTTTGCCAACGCCACTTCCGCGATCTTTGACTTGGAGTCCACGTGGATGTGCAGCACACCAGGAACTTGCTCGAGCGCGCGAATCACCTGTCGACCACAATTCGTCATACAGCGCATGCCCTGCACGCGCAGACGCACGATGCGCTCTCGGTGCTGCCACACGGGGTACGCCACGAACTGATCGGGCGTAGCGCTTCGCACGACTTCCGCCAGGGTGGCCTCAGTGGCTTCATCGACGCGGTGCACCAGCTCAATCCTCGCCAGTCGCTCCGGCACGTCCAGCTGGACACTGCGCACGCCAAGCGGGCTGCGCTGCAGTGCTGACTTGATCTTGGCGGCAGCGTCTCGGGTGTCGTCTGCAAGACCGGGTACCACGAGAAACACGACGCGGTCGTCCCCTTCGTCTCGACGCGGAGAAGAGGCCACGCTCGGGACGTCCAGCTCCACGGGCACGCAGCGTCCGTCGTCGTTCGGCGGCCTGCAGTCGTTGATTACCGTCATGGTCGTGGCAATTGAGAAGTGAGCTGGACGTTCGTCATGTCGGATGCGCTGTCAGCCAATCAGAAGGGCTGAGACGAGGATGTCGCCGCTGATGGGTACGATCGCCCGCGAAGCGGTTGCGCCGGCAGCCAATCCGAGCCGTTGCTTTCGCCCGACCGTTTCACGGAAGCAAAGACACCTCGTCGCGTGATTGGCGGATGGGAATACACGTCTCTTCTGCAGATGACTGGGCTGCCCCTTTCGCGGCCAGTTGAAGCTTCCACGAACGTGCGCACATGTCGTGGTGTATATGGTTGAGGTAGTCGCCAGATCCGATTTGCTAACGTTTGGGAAGATCCCTTGAAGGTCTTGCGATGTGGCGACGGCAAAAGTGTCGGGACGTCGAGGACATGAGTGGTATTGCTTGCGCTGGTGGCATTGGTGGCGCATTGCTCCAGGCGTAACTTGACGTCGTCGCAGCTGCGGACGTGCAGGGCACGAGCTATAAGTGTATGTGTTGTTGAGCAGCTGCTTTTTGCAAAGGCCAGATGTTGATCGGTTGGTGGTCTGTTGATTTCGAGAATGGGCAACAGAGAGAAATAACTTACGACTTTGATAACTGCTTCGATAGTTTACATCCCGCGAGTGTACCCAAAACCGCTGAAGAGCATAGCGGACTACCAGACCTTGTGACACAAACGTGGGGTTTTGAGATCATCGGCGACTTTTCGAGCCAACACAGCGTACCAAATCGCAACCATTCGACTGGAATGCATTGTGCGAGTGTGCGCAAAGCAAGCGTCGTGACCTTACATGAGCGCATACTGCTGTATCCTTTCACCTTACACTGCGCCTTATACTTAGAAGTGTGATCGTGCATATCGCACGACAGGGTTGCTAGTTCTCACATGTGGCCTATCGTGGTGCGATGATGGCCCTGTAAGCTTACTACATCGTAAAGCTTCTGTAGGTACTTCTCTTAGCATGGGTCTATAGTAGCCTACGAAACAGCGCTGTCACAAATGCGCTTTATTCTACAAGGCGGTAGCATACCAAAACAAGAGCGCTTCGGGTAAGCCGAAGTCGTTGGCTGCGCATTTCACCATTAGATACACTTACTGATGATCAAAAAGGATATTACCAAAAATTTACGGGCGCTGATCAATTTTTGACCTCCTTCATTCAAGCGTCAGCGCATAAAAGAGCGGATAGGCTGCTAATACCTGTATATTGTAGCGATTCCTTCTGCAAACGATCTCTTCGCTCGTATGGGAGACACAATTTCGACGAGTCCTTGTCACCACAACGATGGTACATGACCACGGCAATGGATAAAGCGTTGCCATTGTTCGCTCGGGAAGCGAATTGCTTCGATTGTACAGGTGTCCAGCATCTCATCTACGATCTTTTACTGAACCGCTCGCATCACATACTCTTGTGCTCGTACAACTCGATGGTCCGCAAACGCTGTACACCACGAAATTAGTAGTGGAGACCGCTGCGACAACAATTTCGGGTCAAAGTCGATGCGAACCAAGCTGCCTCGTCGCTCATCTTGCGCTTGAATGTGGAAGTGTGGGAATGGACGTCAGTAAGTAGCGTAAGCAAAATAAGCCCCAGCCCCTCGTCATGGGGGCCCTTCCTTGGCGGAATATCTCCTCGCGAGAGCCGAAGTGGGATGTGTATATTACGTACATATTCATGTGCGGCCTCAGGCAGCGCAAGTGCTTGACACATGGAGGTCTTACGACTATCGGCGTTCCGCGCCACGCATCACTGCTCCGGCGTATGCGCACTTCCGATAAACGGTCGCCCGACCGGCCGCAAAGGGATGGACAAAGGTACATGTTCGGCTTCAGACTTTAGCAGCATTGCCTGACAACCCTGAGAGCGTGACCGACGGTGGCCGGCCCCGTACAACTACCAGACTCTTAGACAAAGACTGATGAAAAGTCAGCGGAACACATTGCAGCAGCTCGTTGTTTGCCTGTCCTTTTGTACCGCGTTACATGCTGAAGTTCGACGCGGCGGCCTTGTGCCACCTTTCCTCACTCGTATGGCTCAAACGATACCCGGTCACCTTCTGAGAGGACAGTTCCAGCACCAATCTGGAGCCTGTTATCAGCTTCAGTCTTTGGTGTGTGTCGATGCACAGATAGCCCGGAAAAGGGCGTAAGGACTATGACGATAACTCTAGACATAGCAACTCGACATTCACAACTGACCAGACCAGTGCGACTTTGCAAAGGCTGCCTTTTACCTCGCAAAAGGAAAAGGTACGAGGATGCGGCCCAGGTATGATGGACATTGTATTTTTGTCCTTGCTCTAGCGAGCTAGTTACATAGACCCATACGTAAACGCACCACTGCTTTTCTTTGTCGCGCTTTTGACGCGCGTGTTACAGCGCATTCACGACAATGACGAATATGTTTTACTACATTGTCTATCGGTGTGATGCCAGCACACGCGCACATACAATATGGGGTCTCAACATTCATCTTCGGAACCGGCAACTCGTCCGGCAAGGACCACGTTGTCCCACCGGTACGATGAAGCGGTATGTGTGGTGTCGCACTCGAATTCCATAGTAATTCCCCGTCTCCAATGACCGAATCAGACCGTCCTGGAAGTACTCTTATATACTTGACATGGAGCTGCGCAATTTTCTCGGAGTAAACGCGTAGCTCTACAAAAATAAGGCTTGTACGATACTCTGCGTCACCAAGTGAAGAGGGGAATAAAATCGTTGATCCCCTTGCCATCAGATCTATTTGCTATAGGAGTCCTTTGCTTCCACAAAAACACTCGTCTGCTCGCACGGTGACCGTTGTAGTGCATCCGTTCGACAGGAACACCCTCTTCAAGCCGTCCTATCATCAGTAGATAAATATGCAGTTGCTCGGAAGGAATCAAGGCGACGCACAGCCGATATCTCGCTACCCCGCTCCAGGTCGAACAAGAGCACCGACGGCGTAGCCAGCAAAATTTCTACACTTCAAGTGCTCCAATACACATCGATCGGACGCAACGACAAGAAGCAGAAAGCCACGCGCTCTTTCATCTTTTCGCGTTTGTATGGCCGTGCGATTCACGCTGTTGCAAGCTCTTTTGTGTGGTGTACACAACTTCAACTTGCAGACCATCACTCTCCACTTCCAGCCCGCATTCCCTTCGACACTGCGCGTGCACACCTCAAGCTCCACGTCGGTGCCGAGCAGTCGCGCGTCGTCTTCCTCCTTCGTACATCCCGACAGCATGCCGCCTTGCGAGCTTCGTATCGATATCCACACGTGTGTGCTCACCTCGTTGTCTTGGCATGCAAGCGGCTGGCGAACGACACCACAGAGAGAGAGAGAGAGCACTCGCAAGTGAGAAGAGACGACAGGAAAACGGCGCGAGAAAAGACAGTCAGACTGAGCGTAGGCCATTGCTGCTACTGCTGCTGTCCTTTCTCGACGACGGTCTCGAATAAGGTGGAGGAAGGTGGGCGGCTATTCCTGCGGGGCGTTACCGTCTCACTCTGAGTGTTGCGTCCGCTTGAGAAGACAGACAGACAAACCGTAGCGACAGCCTCTGGTCTCGACGACAGCCGTCACGACTGCCTCGTCCGCGTCCATGGATCCCCTCGACACGCAGCATGGCCACGCAATGGCGGCGTCACCAGCATTACTGGCGCTGGTATCGAAGCCAGAGCCAACAACGTATAGCGAAGTGGCGAGTGATGCACGGGCTGAGTGGTGGCAGACGACGCATCAGACCGGCATGTCGCCGAGCTACCACCACCTGTTGTCGCCGTGGCTGCCACTGCCTTTCGACCAACCGGTTGGTCCAAGTGAGACGACTGCTCCGTTTCCTGAACGACGGTGCAGACCTCTTGTTGTTATTGTTACTGTTGCTGTTGTTGAGGGGCATTGCAGCAGACACTGGACGGATGTGGAGTTTTATTTAACAAATGTCTCTGGATGGTTACTTTTTGTATTTATTGTTGTGTGTTGTTGTTGTTGTGCATTGTTCTTGTTGTTGTTGAAGACTCGAGCCATGCGAGTGGGTCGAGCTACTTGAGCAGACCGAGTGCTTGGACTACGTAAGTCCTGATGTTGACGCGTGCATCGAGATGCAGAGTCGGATGGAAGGCAACCAAGAGCTTGAGCTCACTGGCACAGAATTCATGACGAGTCCAGCAATACCCAAACTACCATCGCTCATCAGCCTTTCTGTCGAGCGCGCAACAAACTTGACGTCGATGGCGCAGCCACAAGGTACACACCTCACAACCCTGTAGCCATTGCCTTACCACCTTGTTCTGCTTCAACGTCGCTTGTCTTGTCTGCTTTTGCAATTCCATATAGACACGCTATCGCGGCGTCCGGGCTTACGAGAAAAGTTTCCGCGTCAGCAGCTTTCGACGGACTACAATGAAGTACACTACGCTCACAACTACTTACCCACTGTTGAGAGACTTATGGACAACAAGCGGACAACGAGAGGGGACAGTTCCGCTTCTAGACGAAGCTCCGAAAGGCGATCGGCCAACCGATCTCTCAAGTTTGAAGTACCCCAACAAAACAACACTGCTCGGCGAAAGCGCGCTTCATGGTGCGGGCATTCCGCAAGAGCGAAAGACGACACTCCATCTCGACGGCAGTGCAAATCGGCCAGAAAGTCAAAGGACTGCATGATTCCTGGCTGCACGAAAGGTGCTCGCTCGAGAGGGCTATGCAAGCGTCATGGCGGAGGGAAGCGGTGCACTTTTTCAGGCTGTGTACGCAGTGACCAGGGCGGCGGCTTCTGCATCGCTCACGGCGGAGGTGGACAGGCGTTCCAGTATTCCAGCTTGTTCAATCGAACTAAACGTTGCGTGTATGTGCGTGTTGAGCAGGCAAACGATGCGCTACCGAAGGATGCAAGAACTCTGCTCAGTCGCGCGGACGTTGCAAGAGTCATGGAGGTACGAAGCAAGCGAGCCACAATTGACGACCCTGTATTCACGTGCAAATGCTGAAATGCGATGCTTCAGGTGGCAAGAGATGCCGTGCTGAAGGATGCGCCAAGAGCAGCCAAGGAGGAGGCTTTTGCCGCGGCCACGGAGCTGGCAGAGCTTCCAACGTCAAGACGGTGGACACCGTCTTTTAGATTGCCGTTTACAGAGCACATTTCCCCCATCGTACGCGGATAAAGGTGCTGTAGATGTCGTTGTAAGTGTAGTACACCGCGTTTCTAAACCCCAACAAGTTGAAGTGAGTCAGTCGTCTTGGATCTTCGACTCGTGTACCGAGTCACAATGTGGGACTAGCCGCCATATGATTGGCGCAGGACCGGCACTCCTCCTGCTTACCGCAAAGACTCACTCCCCGCCAAAACTCCAAACGCCAAACCACGAGCCATGACAGACGTGCCCATCCGGGTATGTGCGCACCCGTCCACAGCAGCAGCAGCAGCAGCAGCAGACTTCCGTACACATGAACGCTAACCTCCTCGTTGTCACCTTTTTGCTGTTCAGTGTGTCAAGAACGTGGTGCTCGAAGTTACGCGTGACGATGGAGAGATCGATCGCAGCACGCTCCAGAAGGACCTCGTGTTGCGCAAAGAAGTCGGTAACGCGCGTCTCGTGAGTGGTGATGTCGTGCTGTGGGTGGGCAAGGGCGTGTTGTCCCACAAAGACTCGACAGTGGACTCGATGCCTACTCGCACCGTGCGCATCGAGAACAACAAGCGGCGCTTCGTGTTCACAATGGCGCTGGATGCTGTCGGCAAACAGTTTTACGCTGAGCTTAAGGATCAGGCGGACGGCAAAGCACGAGTGGAAGTCCGCAAGAAGAAGCGGAAGATCCGCAAACAGCTGAGCCAAGTGATGGGCTTTACGCCCGTGAACACACTAAAGAGTCCCGTAACGAGTCCCTCTCTCCTGCTTCCGAGTCCCGCGAAGAAACCAGCCGTGACGCCTAAACGTGTTCCACTGGCGGACATTGGGACACCACAACGGACACCACGACAAACACCACGACAGACACCACATTTGACTCTACCATCGCCGTTACTGGTGACCCTGAAGGAGTCAACTTCGTCTTTGGCCTCCCCGTTGAGGTCGCCATTCCGCTCTCCGTTCCGAAAGAAAGCGCGTCTTTCGCAAAGTCCGTCACGCGGACTAGTGGATCTATCGCCGCCGTCCGGGCGATCTCCTGCACGTGAATGGCTCAGTCCGACACGGTCGCTGAACCTACGTAGTGGACCGACTCCGCCGAACTTAAAACAACGCAACGGTCAAACGCCTGCGAATCAGAGCACACAGAAGTCCGAGCGATCAGCTGGTAGCCCCGATGAGACGAATCGCCGCAAGTCGATCACCGGGTCGATAAACAAGCGAGTGCGCTCACTCCAGTTGATGCTAGACGATGAATCGGCGGACAAGGAGCCTGCAGCGGAGGATAAAAAGAAAATCACTTCGCACTTCTTCAAGACACACTCGTCCCCTTGTCATCCTCGTGACATGACCGCGGAAGTATTCGATGAGACGCTGGAGTCGATTGCTGCTGTACCGGCAGATAAATGCGACATCGATGATCCGAGTGGTGGTGACTCCCCGGCGAATGACGCTCATAGAAGCACGCACGGATTGCTAAATTTGGGAAACTACTGTTACATGAATGCAATCGTACAGGCACTGGCAGCTCTTCCTGAGTTCGTTAGTGCTGTCCGAAATGAAGACAACATGCTGCAGATCATTCGGGAGCAGCCCCATGCGAGTGTCAGGGTCAAGACGACGGAGCAACTCAAGACCATTTTTAATGACTGGCGAAACAGTGGCGACTCGAAGCATCTGCCACTGCAGTATGCCTTGAGCCAGTTGCTTCAGCTTGTCGTTGACGGCAGCGAGACATCAATCAATCCCGAATTTCTCAAGAACGTGATGGGAAAGAAAAACTCCATCTTTGCAACGTACGTACCGCGTGTTGAATCATTATTAGCGCTTGTCCTGTTCTGACCATTTTGGTACACCGTGGCTGTCGTTGTAGCCATTTCCAGCAAGACGCTCACGAATTCTTGCTGAATCTCGTGACCGAGTATGAAAAAGAGCTTGTGGACATGGTGCACGAAGTGACCAAAAAGATTCGGGGAGAGCCGAACCCGTCTCCCCAACTTCATCGAAACAGTCTAAGTAGCTTTTTCCGCAATGGATCGGAAGTGAACGACGGGCAGCAGGAGACCGCAAGCGGATCAGCTGACGCAGAACTAGAGCTGATCTGTCGGCTGCCGCCAGCGAAGTGCTTTCGGGCACAGTTAAACCGCACATTGACTTGTCATCATTGTGGATACAGCCGGAAGCAGACCGAGACATTCTATGACTTCTCTCTTGATCTTCCTTACTATCCCGTTTCTGACAAGGAACCCACAGCAGAGCAGGAACCCACAGCAGAGCGGGAACCACAAACTTCGCCATCGTTTGAACGACGATGTTTTTGCAATGTTGTCCCGCGATTGACGGGCGAAGGTGATGACCGCTACTATTGCTGCTCGAAGTCGTCGTGCAGTTTTCGAGAAAAGTCTGTGGATGATGAAAGATCTACAACGTCTCCTACAAAACTTGCGATTGCAGGGGCAAAATCAGCTGCATCGTCATTGTCACCAGCTTCCCGCTGGCCACCACGGCCAGCACCGATTGAGTTGGAAACGCTGTTACGAAAACAATTTGACGCGGAGGTGTTGGAATTGGCGTGTGAGAAGTGCAACGTCGGCAAGGAGGCGGAATCGGCGTACGAGGTCAAGTCGCTGCCGCCGATCCTCGTACTGCATCTGAAGCGCTTTGAGGTACACCCTCACACGGGTTTGCCGTTCAAGCGGTGCGACTTGGTTGTGCCTCCTGCTGTGATCGATCCCGTTCGCTCGATTGACGATTCGTCTTTGTCAGGGAATGAACAGCACTACGTGCTGAAGGTGCGTTCGCGCTTGCAATGCACATCTACTCCGTTTCCACTTTGTGCTCATTTGTGCTTGTATGTGTCGCAGAGTGTTATTCACCACCTTGGTAAGAGCATTGACGAAGGACACTACGTCGCTGACGTGTGCGATGCCCATGGTCAATGGATACGCCGAAATGATACGCATGAAGCTAAGGTACGCGACTCGATCCGTAACGGCTATAACAATGCAAATCTCACGATCGACTGTTTCGTTAGATTTCGACAGACTATGCGTTCCAATCGTATCGAAGCCAGGAGTCGTGTTACATGTTCTTTTATGTCAAAGTGGGGAGAAGTGGCGCGGAGGAAGGCAAAGAAAACGTCCCTTCGAATTGCGCTTTGCGACAAGATGAGAACGATGCGAATGCGAGCCGGCAACAAGGGGGGCCTTGCAGCAATGGTCTGCGGGCTTTCCTGTAGCGTCCCGACTGCATTGAGACGTGCTGCTGTATATTACGATTTTGGATCGAACTACATCACTTGCTCTCTTGCTACTGTGTGTCACTTTGTCTAACTGTCATTTTTCTCGACACGCAGTCCATTTGGTGTCGCTCAGTCATTTGAGCAGCCTGCGTAAGCTATAAAGGTGGCTAAACGGGTGTGCTGATACGAAAGACGCCTACGATCTTGAACGCGTCAGTCTTAGAAGTAAACGCGTTAATCGATTGCGTTGTAAAAATTGTATTGCGCGCGCAGTGAACGAAAACAAAGACGTGGAGGCGCCAGCATACTCAGCCATGTGTCACACCGTGCGCTTGCAGTCGTGCAGTTCCTTTGGGGTCAAAGCGATCGACTAGTCACTAACTTGCTTCATTGGTCGCGCCAAACAATACTTTGCTCCTCTTCTTGCAATATGTCGGCTACTTCGATGTGCTGCAGTAGATAGATGCAGCTGTTGACTGCTTCTGGACAGAGACGTTGTCACCAACTGACTTACCAAAACAGCGAGATTCCTGCTCAGGGCATGTGATTTTGAGAACACGTCATCTCTACTAGTCGCACTTACCCTCGTACGCAAAAGTTTCCATGCAAAATGTATCCATAGACGTCCATGCCGTTTACAGATCTATCGACTAAAATGTTGGGAAGCACCACTCGCTTTCTTCCACCACATCAGAGAGTTTTGGGCACCCGCCTCGTCGCAAAAACAAATGCAAATGGGAGTTGGCGCTTTATCCATCCACCCATAGTCAGCAACAAATTGTCACGAGGCGTATCGTTGGAGTGTGAGAGCCGCATCAATTGATGGCCGAGTATTACGGAACGACAGCTTACAGCTACCAATTTGACGGCAATGACGCTATCATCACGATGCAACAACGAAGACATCCAAGTCTTCGTGTCTGATGAAGTCGTGCACGTAGCAGTCATTGTCAGGAGTACAACGGTAAAACGGAGAAAAATACATGAGCATTGACATTGAACGGACGTACAACTTTGTGAGAAGCTCACCTGTTGCATTGGGAGCACCCGAGTTTGATGCACTACCCTTTCGCCTTACGTATACACTAGTTTCTCAGCGTACGTAGTTCTACATAAGGATATATCGCCTGATAGTATACAAGGGCAAGGCCTCACTGGCAACCGTTGTGCTTTGCATACAACTGCAACAGCAATAGCGACAATTGACACACGCTCTCTGTCGGTTGTCCACTCACCGACGGCGCTCCTGCTGTCGCGATATTCAACGAATCACAGAGCAAGCGAGCTCCCATTGGCTGAAAAGAGGCACCTGCCAACGTTCGTGCCGCCTCGCTTGACGATGCCACTCTGTGCCGCATGCTGCGTCACGAAAGGCTTCAACAAGTGCGAAGACGTCCATCTGCTGGCACACAAACGCTGGCGTCAAGAAGCTGATCGTCTTTCTGTTGTTATTCTGTGCAGGTTCCACGGCGGACAGCGACACCTGCCGCGTCCAGTGTGCAAAGAATGCTTTCGCAATGGGAAAAAGCCGGTGGATCTGGGCGGCGAGCCCGTGATGCTTCCGTGAGTGCGAGAAACATTGCACCCATGCGTGCAATGTGATCATTGAGTCCATAGTGATCTCATGGACATCCGTATGCGTAGGGTACGTGCTTCAGGGGACCCGAAGACAGCAAGTTTGGCAGATTTCCAGTTGCTTAGTGTCATTGGACAAGGCACATTCGGAAAGGTGCAAGTGTTCGAGCAATTGATTCGGCTTTGTACGTCAGATGGTGATGACGTGCAGTGGTGGTCTAACTGCTGCGGGCTTGCAGGTGCTATTGGTGCGACACGCGACCACTGGAATAGTGCACGCCATGAAGGTACTCGACGCGAAGCACGGATATTCTACAGTATTTCGCCTTGTTGCTGCAATCCGCTTTATCGGCTTATGCTGTCGATTCTGAATGCGATAGATCATCAGTAAGCAGTTCGTGATTGATATGGACAGCGTGCATTACATGAAAACGGAGCGCAATGTCATGACGAAGGTGTGATTGCCGATTGCAGTAGATGAGCAGGGCTTTTTGCAGTCAGTTTTAATCTCTTTGCTTGTTGATTGGCATCATGCATTGCACGTGAACAGATTCGCCACCCTTTTGTGATTGGGCTCAATTACGCCTTCCAAACAGAATCGAAGGTAACAACATTCTTGCGTGGTGAGAGTCCATGTAGTCCGTAAAAGCCGACCCGTTGCACTTGTGCATCAGGTGTATCTCGTGATGGAGTATCAGTCTGGAGGAGAGCTGTTTTCGTATATGAAAGAGGAGGGCACATTTACTGAGGTAAGGTATATTACAAGATTGATTTTTGCGACCATCTGGTTGACTCTTGGTGCGTTCCAAAGGACGCCGTTCGCTTCTATTTGGCCGAGATGGTTCTAGCGCTGGAGCATTTACACGGACATGGCATCATACACCGGTTCGTGCAGTCATTTCTTCCACACCGTGTAGACCACTGACGTAACATTACTGAACACTATCCTCTTTAGCGACCTAAAACCGGAGAACGTTCTCATTTCAGCCGAAGGGCACATCAAGCTGACCGACTTTGGTCTAGCGAAGGAATATGTTGAAGGGCAGGAGTTATTGACAGTGTGCGGAACGAAGGAATACATGGCCCCCGAGATGCTTCTTGGCAAAGGATATGACTCGGTAGGATGCGCATCGTGCAGATGAGCGAGCGAGCGTGCCTGTATTGATATTGTTTGACCCAGGCAGTGGATTGGTGGTCGCTCGGTGCTCTCGCACACGAAATGCTGATTGGAAGTCCGCCATTTCGATCGAAGTCTCCTGCAGACTTGCACAAGAAAATCATCTCAGCCAAGGTGAGCTTTAGTGCTCGCCGTGAGAGCTTGTCCGTTCTCATGAGACGAATACTGTGCAGCTCCAATTGCCACGCTGGCTGTCAGGTGAAGCCCACTCGTTGATCAAGTCCCTCTTGGAACGGAACGTGAGCAAGCGATTGGGTGGCGGCAAGTCCTCTATGTTTGTGGTCAGGGGAGTGCAGGCACTAAAACGTCATCCGTTTTTCAAGGTGTGCGCTAGTTGTATGGTTCATTCTCGGACGTTGTGCTAACATCGTGAAGTGATGCAGTCAGTGAATTGGGACAAGGCAGAAACCCTCCGTGTTCCTCCTCCCAAAGTACCTAGCATTTCTGGCGAAGTGGACACGAGCAATTTCGACAAGAAGTTTACGGAGATGCCCGTTTCAGACCTGATGTGTGAAGCGGGTTTTGTCGAAGAGCATGGTGACCTGTTTCGTGGATTTTCATTTTGCCGACAGGATAGCATCAAGGAAGCCATCTCCAATCCGCAGTCACCGATTAGCACGGCTCTGCTACCAACTATTGCAACTCTAGTAAGCGGCGGTGACGACATCAAGGACATCAACGACGCTATAGCCATAGCCGCTAGCAAGCAGCTGCAATTCTGGCCCAAATGACGGATCACAGCTTCCTTTTCTCTTCCATTTTCGCAGCAAGCGTATCGATGGAGTCAAACTGGCGATCCCAGCGCGCGTTGTATAGAAACGGGCGCAAGTCGAAACGGTTGTCATCAGGAGAGTAGTTCTCGGCGTGATAGGACGGAGTCAGTGTCGTCATCTTGTGGCGGTTGATGGAGTAATAGAAGAAGAATCGCTTGACCTTCGTTGCCACATCCGTGGGCGTCAAAAGAGTCCACATGTGCGTGAGCTTGCGAAACATCCAGTAAGGACCGCAGCGGTCAATCTTTCGCAATCGACCGAAAATGCCTAGCTCGTCATACGTCATCCCCATGTCGTCCTCGTCAAGCTGAGAATGATCAGCATCTTCTCCGGCATTCTCGTCGGTAGGACGAAGTTCTGCAGTCGGCGGCGCCTGTTCGACAGTCTGTAGAGCGGGGTAGTTGTATTTGACAGCAGCCCAGCGAAGCAGTTTCTTCAAGTCACCCTTCGACACTGCGCCAATCGGGTTCAAATCACCGCTGCTGCAGTCGTACTTCGTCATGTACCCACGCAACGCTTCATCTACGTTACCGGAACTGAGCACAAGTAGGAAGCCGGTCTTGGACCGCACCCACGGCAGGAGCTGGGCAAGGAGGTAAGCCATTACCATTCGAAGACGCGCCTGGATATTTTGCAGCGCGAGATCCTCTTGCAAGGTCCCTCCGCGAGAAAGGTACTGAGGGGTCTTGCCAGTCAGCACCGAAAAAGTTTTGACCACGGCATCCACCATCATGTCCATACCCATGTCAAGATGGTAGGACCCAATTTCTTTCGCAAGTGTTGCAGCACGTTTCTTGGTGGCGGCCGAGCTATTCTTCGTTCCCATGTACGTGGTGTGGAGAATGTGCGATGCGAGCTCAGCAGGCGTCAAAGGTTGATATTCTTGGCCTAAGGTGCTCATAATCCGCTGCACGTCCTGTACAACCCGCTCATCACCCTTGTTGGCGGCCTCAACTACGAGATGGCACATCACGCCAACAATGCATGCCACAGACGACGAGTCCGCGCCGCCTGACAATGGCAAGAAGAATCCGCTACCTCCACTTCGTCGCAGATAATCCCACATCCAACACGCTGGTCCGAGGGCAATCTCTTCCTCGGGCACGTGGTAGTGCACTTCCACAGCAGCAGTTGGCTTGACAAACAACATCTCATCGTGGCACAATCTAAAATCGACGTGCACCTTGGCTACCACCGTATCTAACGAGCTCGCTTGCTCGCTTCGACTGCTCACTGAGCCGCGGTACGACCTCACATCATCCAGATCCACTGTGGCCGTTACTACCTCGACATCCTTCACCGAAAATTGTGAGCCTTGCGCTACCACTTGACCATTCACCACAATGACAGCGCAGCCGTCATAGTACAGACGACCACCGTCACACCCTTGTTGATTGGCGTACAAGTACACGCCGCCGCTTTTAGTCGTAGCGCCTCGAATCAGATCCATGCGCTGATGCAGCTTCCGCAGCTGATGGTGCGAGCCGGAGCCGTTGCCAATGATCTCGACACCCGCTAGACCGAGGTTGATGTGCGGACTGCCGGGCGTAAAGAGCTCCTCGCAGGTCTCGGACGCGCACGTCGTGTCAAGCAGCGACACAGCCCCTGGACCAAAAGGGACGTGAACAGCACCCGTGTATTGCTGTAGACTCACAGGTAGTACAAACTGATCGAGCCCGTCCAATGTGCGTTTTCCAGCATGTGCCTTCCACGTCGTGAACCAGCGCGTCTCCCGGTAATTGCCATCGTCTGCCAGAAAGAGCTTGGGCCGAATCAAGACGATGCGCTGGTTGAGGCAGAACACGCGGCAGTTGTAGCGCACGCCGTTGTGCATCACTGGCATACCAATGTCACACACAATGCCATTGGTCGCGTCCGAGCGCAAAATCGTCTCAAGCGACTGCCAGCAGTGGTAAAACGTGTCTTGTTCAAGGAAATGGTCTTCGCAGCCGTAGCCACAGACCTCGAGCTCGGGCCCTACGCGGTAGCGCGCCCCGCGTTGCTTGGCCACGTAGATGGAATGGAGGATGCGCTCGAGGTTCCCGTCAAAGTCGAGCGCCCATTGGTTCAAGTTGCACGTCGCGACCGTCACGAGTGCGCTCATAGCTCTCGCTCGCGTCGGGGGATGGATAGATTGTGGCGACGGCGGATAGAATGGGTGCGCTCATGTAGTGTGGTGCACACTAATCTAGGGGCGGCCATGGTCCAGCCCGAGCGGGCGACGTTGAAGCTTTCGGCCAATCAACGACCGACGACCGACGGCCGCCACCTGTGTTGGCCGTCGTCCGATCGAACACTTAGACACTCGGCGTGTTGGGCTGTAGCCATAGTCGCGTCGTTGCAGTTTTAACGGTATTGCGGCCGCGCGTGGTACGCTCCGCGCGTTAAGTGTGTCGACTTTGTTCGACTGTCGCGCGTTTGTTCGTCGCTGACGTGACTTGGGCGGTGGGTCACGTCTCGTGGGAGTTAAATTGCTTCTGCGCTGCTGTCCGTTATGAGGTTCGTGTCGCTTTGGCAGACGCTGACGCACGTACTGATGTCGAAGCTGCGTCCGTACACGTCCAGCTGTACGTCGACTGCTCGTCTCGTTGGTGCAGGAACAGCGCATCGTCTGTCAGGTCTCGTCTCTGGCAGTCGGGCGCGCGCTCTTCTGTACCACCTGTCGGGCCGATTGGCATCCGACGGCAAAGCCCTCGACAGTCGAAAGGGCACACACACACACACACACACTGAGACATCTACACATGTGCATCGACGCGTTGTGGTATCCACTCGCTCGACGAAACACAGAAGGCACCTGACCAGTCAGTCCGTTGCGAGGCAGTAGTGAGTCAGCTGACGGCCCACTACTACTACCACTTACGACGACGACGACTGCCCACAATGTGATCTTCTCGCTCAAGCTGTCATGTCTCGGAGACTGTACGTCTGCTCCAAGTGCACGTCCCGTGGCAGTAGGCAGTCCGTCCGTCAGTCAAAAAGGACCGACCCGATCGGGAGGTCCCTTTTGGAAGAAGAAGGAGAAGCGCCGCTGCAGTCCGCCCGCTGTTGCACCCTCTTAGCGTTAGCTAACGACCGTGTAGGGATATCACTGGCTCAAACGGGAACGCCTATCCTTCCGACCGAGCAACACCCCAACCAATCTGACTGCCCGTCGCAACGTGTGCGCCGAGCCACACCCACAGCCACAGCCACAGCTCACTGCGTCACCCACTCACCTGCCCGACGCTTCTCTGCCCCCTCTGCAGACGCAGCACGAAGCGACAACGCCAAGGAGGGACCCGAGCGGATCGAGTCGCAGCAGAGACGAAGATTCGCAGCGGGCAATGGCCGTGTGCGGATTCCCCGACGACCGCGCGCCAAAGTCGTTGTTGACGGCTCGAAACAGCGGTACCGGCATCAACGCTTTTGACCGGCGGCTGCTGGTCAGTGCAAGCGCGAGGAGCTCTGACGATGGCGTTGAGCTCCTCGAGTCGGAGTTTCCCGGTGCAGTAGCGATCTCGACCGCTGTGAACGCACTGTCGTTGCTGGGCTTTGCCGTCATTCTCACGACGTACCTATTGTTTCCCCCCGTGCGGAAACAGCACTCGTCGCTGCTCGTGTGGGTGGCGCTCACGGGTATGCTCTTCCACGGGACAGTGCTCACGCAGACGTCTGCAGTCTACGGCTCGTGCTGCTCGACCGCTTCTGTGGTTCAACTCGCGCTGCTCTCGCACGAGCTGTACTTCTTTGCGCTGGCGTTCAACTTTTACTTTACGACCAAGTACCCGTTTCGCTCGTCAAGGTGGCTGAACCCGCTCTACCACGTTGCCGTGTGGGCTGTGAGTATCGCTGTGGCGATCGTGGCCTGGCACTTGGGAACGGGGCGAGTCAGTTCCTACGGCTTTTGCTGGTACGCGTCCGACTACGATGGCATTGTCAGCAACAACGAGTTCATCCTGCTCGAGATCTTTTTCATCCCGATTTCCGCTGGCTACTGCGTGAGCATTGGCTGGTACATCTTGGCAACGAAACGAGTGCGACTGACGATGGGCGGCAGTGCCCAGACTCGCACGACGCTCGATTCCATGCGGTCTTTCTTGTTCTGGAGCTTCTCGCTGTGGGTGGTCGTGACGGTCCCCTACATTCTGCGGCATCGCAATGTCGTTGCGATCAACTCGGCTAGCGAAAAGTCGCTGCGCTTTGTAGGACGCGTAGCCGTCGCATTCCTTGGCACGGGTAGTGCAATTCTTTGGACGAAATCAATGGGCGTGCTCAAGACATTCAAGATGTGGCGGCAGCGGAACTGGGATGACTACTTCAAGGTCTATGATGCCTCCTGGGTCCTGCGTCGCGAGATCTTGTATTTCGCCACGAAAGGTATTCAGCTTGGCGCTAGTAGTGCAAAGGGTGTACAGGAGCACGATGACAGGGTGAACCCAGGTGCCGAATCGATCTTTTCGTTCACGCAACGGTCGGGTATCTTCCCCTGGCAGCTACGACTGGGAGCGATATCGCAGGCACCAAGCGTGCTGTCGTTTGAGCTCGATGGCGCCACGTCCGGCCAGAAAGCCATCTTCCGCGACTTTGAGCCAGAAGTGTTTCACGAAATCCGGCAAATGTCTGGAATTACCCGCGAGAGCTACATTCAATCGTTCAAGGGCAGTACGCGCGAACGGTTCAGCGAAGGCAAGAGCGGGTCGTTTCTTTACTATACTGGTGACCAGATTTTTATCCTCAAGACGTGCACACCTGGCGAGCAAAAGTACCTTTTGTACATTTTGCCGCAGTACATGGCCCACCTTCGTCGAAACCCGAACAGCTACTTATGTCGCTACGTGGGTTGTCACGAATTGGTCATGGAGCACCACTCGGTACTGTTTATCGTGCTGACGAATATCTTGAACAACCCTAGTGTCAATATTGACGAGCTGTATGATCTCAAGGGCGCTTGGGTCGGTCGGCATCGCGGTGACTCACCCAGCGGTACACAGCGAGTGTGCAAGTTCTGTGGCCACGATTTTGTCGTCGGCATGTCGGAAGAAGTGTGCTCTCAGAACCCAACTGCTGGATTCGGTCATGCCGAGTTTGTCGTCGGCAAAGACCTAAATTGGTCGTGCCGCCGCCTTGGACTTCCCACTGACGTGGCTGAGCAACTGGGCAGTCAGTTGTACGCCGACACTGAGTTCTTGCAGCGCATGAATTCCATGGACTACAGTCTCGTGATCGGGTTGAGCCGCCACAAGTCGATTTGCGCCCAAACGGGCAATGGTACTGTGCTGTCACGAAGCATTGGTCCATGTTTGAAGGAGAAGTCGTGTGTTAGCGTGGGTAGTGGTGACGAGGCAGGCTACTTGGAGTCGTCGAGTCCTCATAGTGCTACTCTTCGCGGAATGAACCGTCCGACGGGCAACACGACAACGTTCTCTACAGACGCGTCAGTCGTGAACATGGGCATCATTGACATCTTGACCCCATGGTCATTCAAGAAGAGTTTGGAGCGATGGGTGCGCATTCGACTACAGTGCCGCGACAAGAAGGGGATTTCGTGCATGAAGCCCATCCCATACGCGGACCGATTTCGTCGCAACGTGATTGACACGGTCATCTTTGGCCGCTATCTAGGCCCCAAGCGACGCCACCTGGAGAAACGGCAAGGAGAGTCGATTATGGTGGATTTTACGAGCGTGTCCATGGACGTGAACTTCTCGATAGACATCGCGAGCTTGTCGATGGATACGTCCAATCTCTCTATGGAGATATAAGACTGCATGTCCGACGAAGCGTCGCAAGACGTGCACTGTCGCAGCGGGATGATGCCACTGCACCTGCTCTCGATCGTCTTGATCGGATGCGACTACTGCAGGCTGATGCAGTACACCGTAAGCACGCACGTCATGGTCGCGTTCTCCCATCGAATCGCCACGCTGCCTGCAGTTTTCACACACGGCAAGCACCCGACGACCGTCTCAGTTGGTGCCACCATATTCATGCAGCATCATACCCAGTTGCTCTACAAAGGCTCACCGTCTCGCTTGGCGTCCCAGAAGCACGACGAGTTGGTGTGGAAGCCGGCGTTCCGCTTCTGCAGAATCGTGCAGTTCACTGTATGCAGCGAAAGCACCGAGCAGCCCGTACTTAGACCCATCGATTCGTTCGTCCGTGTACATGTACCTATTTAACACATTGCAACAGTCGTTTTGTAGACGCACCAATGTACTTGAAGCCAGCAGAGCCGTTGGCCACGCCCTTAAGCTCCTTGAGGCACTGCGACGAGATGTCCGTCGTCCACTGGTGCACGTCCGATGCGTGGTACGTCTGCCCTGTCAGCACACTTTCCGGTATCTGCGCACAATACACACACACACACACGTTCGCACGCAAAAACACAGACAATCTGAGCTTCGACAGCGCGCCCGGTCACCTCTCGAGCAGGCGGACAGACCTCGAGACTGATCTTCTTGACCTCGTCCTGGATCTCGTGGAACGCGTACTGCAACAGACGGCGCCGTTAGATGGATCGACGCGCTCGAGTGTACCTACTGGTGGCTGCAGCACGCACCGCTGCGGTCTCCATACTGCTGCTCCTTTGGCGCTTGACCGGGCGATCACAACTCATGCACGTTCCCGCCGCATACAAAGTTCGCGTGGTCGCTCTTAAGTACGCACCGCGTCCAGAGAATCGCACTTTACAATCGCCCCACAAAAAGTTTGCCGACGCCGCCAGTGGCGCAGCTGCTCGTTTGTGTCGTGTGTATTGAGCTGCGCCTGTCCGCTCTACTGGCCCTCGCGTTGTGAACAAGTAGGCCTATCTTCTGCGTGAGGCTCTTGCGCGTCGAACGGCGGGACTGTTGGCGCTGGGACCGCTCTGGAAGACTTGCAATTGAAAGGGTTTGCTTGTCGTGGCAGCGACGTCGCAGTCATTGGCGTTCGTGTCGCCGCAGGTGACGACGATGGACAATGGATACAACTGTACAAGTGCCAGTCACGCAAGTGAACGCGCAGGTGGGCTGCGCTTTGCGCAAGATGCCGAGAAGCAGAAAGGCACAGATAAGGAGGACGAGCAGCTCGAGTCGATCGAGATTGTGCCCTGGCGCATGCGTGAGCGCATGAAGACGATGGACGTGGCTTTAGTGCTGTGTCTGAACATTGGCACTGACCCTCCAGACGTGGAGAAAGCGACACCGTGTGCGCGTAAAGAGTGCTGGGTGGATCCGTTCTCCATGCCAGCGAAGAAAGCTATCGAGACAATTGGTAATACGCTGCAGTCCCAGTATGAACGATGGCAGCCGCGTGCACGATATAAGCAGAGTTTGGATCCAACCGTGGAGAAGATTCGAGAGTTGTGTGTGAACCGACGACGCTTGGCCAAGCACGATCGCGTGTTGTTCCACTACAATGGACACGGGGTGCCTCGACCGACACAGAATGGAGAGATATGGGTATTTAACAAGAGCTACACGCAATACATCCCGCTGTTGGTGTATGATTTGCAGTCTTGGGTGGGGACGCCATCGATTTACGTGTTTGATTGCTCGGCGGCAGCAGTGCTGCTGGGTCACTTTACGTCACCGCCAATAAACCCCGCTCAATTGCATGGAAGAAATGGAAGCCCGCCGGCAAACGAAGCCATTGTGCTCGCTGCTTGTTCTGCTGATGAAATACTGCCGATGAATCCAGAACTCTGCGCAGACGTGTTTACCGCCTGTTTGACAACGCCGATAACGATTGCTTTGCGATGGTTCATCTCACAGAACGAGCTTTCGATGGCGCACCTGGATGCTGGCTTTATTGAACGTATTCCTGGGAAGCTTACGGATCGGAAGACCCCTCTGGGAGAATTGAATTGGATATTCACGGCCATCACTGATACGATCGCATGGAACATGCTTCCTCCCGAATTGTTCCAGAAGTTGTTCCGACAGGATTTACTCCTGGCATCGCTTTTTCGCAACTTTCTACTTGCCGAGCGGATCATGAAGTCTGAGGGGTGTACCCCATGCTCACTTCCGGCGCTACCACCAACGAGTCACCATTCGCTATGGCGATCATGGGACTTGGCTGCTGAAGTCTGTTTAAGCCAACTGTACAAGTTGTCAAATCCATACCCAAATGTCGACATAAGCTTCCAGCCCTCCCAATTCTTTGCGGATCAACTCACGGCGTTCGAAGTTTGGCTACAATTTGGGTCCGTTGAGAACCCGCCGCCCCAGCAATTGCCGATGGTCCTCCAGGTGCTCCTGAGCCAGGTCCATCGTCTTCGTGCACTCGTGCTATTGAAGAAGTTTCTGGATTTGGGATCTTGGGCAGTAAACTTAGCACTTTCAGTTGGCATCTTTCCATACGTACTCAAGTTGCTCCAATCTCCAGCAAGTGAGCTTCGTCAGGTGCTAGTTTTTATCTGGGCAAAGATATTGGCCCTCGATTTCAGCTGCCAGGTCGATCTTGTGAAAGATGACGGCCATTCTTACTTTATATCGCACCTCGCAGCTGGTCTCCACAACGGTGGAGGAAGCCACATTGCGTATAGTGCAGCCGGGAGCGCAATGCCAGGTGATCAAAAAGTAATGGCCGCCTTTATCATTTCGGTGATCTGCAACGGCTACCTGCCTGGCCAGAAGAGCTGCTTGCAACAGTACTTGCACAAGATTTGTATTAATTTTCTTCAGGATCCTGAGGAAGAAGTGCGCAAGTGGGTTTGTTTGTGTATGGCCAAATTGTGGGAAAACTTTGACGACGCGAAGCGAATTGCAGTAGAAGATCAAGTTCCGCGGATACTTGATACTAAGCTGAGCGATGATCGTCCAGAGGTGCGTGCCGCCGCGGCATACGCGCTTGGCACTTTGGTAGGCTTCCAGTACGATCCTAACGTAAGTGGAAAGCATGTCGACTCGAGTCGTCTCGATGATTTTCTCCGGCAACGAGCACACGATGACATCATCGTAGCTTTAGCGCTACTACGGGGTTGTCAGGATGGATCTCCGCTGGTGCGAAAGGAGAGTGTGCTGGCGTTAGCAAACGCTATCCTGCATAAGTATCATCAGCCACGTTTTGAGTCCGTCGCCAAGCATTATAAGAACCAGCCACCGCGGGATCCAGCATCCCGTTCACTAGGCTATGAACACCTTGCAACTGAGTTGGCTTCCCAAAGTGATACTGATACAATAAGTGTGAAGGAGGGTACTGGTAGCGACACGCCGGTGGGCAAGTACTTACGTGGTGAGATTGGAGGGGATGCCAAACACTATGCTCAGATTTGGTACGTACTAAAGGAGATGCAATCGAGGGATCCATTTCCACCTGTGGTGGACGCTGTAAAAGCAATTGTTAGCTTCGTGAATGCAAGCATCTTAAAAGCTGAGCAAGACCAGGTACTTGAAAATAGTCAAGGTGGGAGTGCATTGGCTTCTCCCGTTCGAAGTATGAATACGGAAAGTTTTTCGGTTGTGCGTTCGGAAAAAAGTGCTGGCGGCGTTCCTCCATTTCGACGAGAGGGCTCACTAGCGGATTTATGCTATACCCAATCTCGACAGAGTAAAGAGCAACTATCAGGAGGTGCCACCGCCGAAAATGGCATCCCTCCAGCAAACCCTAAGCCAGACAACTTGACCAGAAATACAGGTGCACCGACAAAAGGATTGCGTTCAGCCATATCAGTAGGCGATTTCCACCAATACCGAGAAAAGTTCCAGCAAAGTTCCGGGAACATGTTGGACGCTGAGGCTGATCGTCCCACACCAACAATGAGCACAGGTAGCGAGAGGGGCCAAAGACGGCAGCTAGATTCAGGTCTTTCACAGACGACGGTTCGCTACGGAGCTTCGACCAGTGGACTTTCTAACAAAGACAATACGGCTTACCCAGTGCCCACCCCTGTCGCACTGGATCTGTATGGCCGTAATGAGGACTTTCCATCTAGTCTGGTGTCAACGTTCTACGAGCGACACAAAGCCCACTTCAATGAACCGATTTTGGAACCTGTGCATGAAGACGAGGATCCGTTGAGTGAGAAGGGAGCTGAAAGGTGGGACCGTTGCCGCCGCTACAATCGCATCCGGGAAGCAGCAAAGAAGCTTGCACCAGGCTTTGCTTCGCTTCAGGGCTCGGCGAAATCACCGGCGACCCAGACGACTGATTTAGGGCTGCGTGATGCTAGCCCACTACATCCTTCTCTTTGCTCCCCGAGCGAATTTGATGCTAGGCGCCGCGTCTCAGCTCAGGGTGGTGAAGAAGAAGTAAAGGGATTCACGTTGAGCCTCCGTCAGCGTGCTGTATTGAATAGCGACGCAGAAATGACGTCGCTGCTCCTTTTCCACCCGTATGAAACGATGCTCCTAGCTGCTGACGAGAAAGACCAGATCTCGCTGTACAACTTCGAGGAGACGGAGACGAAGGTGCTGAGTTTTGGCAACAACAACCCGCCAGGGTAAGTACTCTACTGCTTGCTCGAGAGCTGATCGGTGCATTGATAAGCTCTGTGTTTTGTGCTGCGGGTGACAGGTCTCGTCTGACATCACTGAATTGGATCAATGAAACGGAGGAGAGTCTTCTGACGTGCGGCTCTGACGACGGTGTGATCAAGATTTACCACGGGCTGCACCGTCCTCATCCGTCGATAAGGACTCCCCGATTGCTGTCAGCCTTTGTCGCTGTGCCTGATCTTGTGCCCGGAACGCGCGGATCAGGCCTTGTGATGAACTGGCAGCAAGATGCTGGTATGATGTATGCTGGTGGTAACTCCAGCGTCCTGCGGGGATGGGATTTGCGCCAAGAAAAATGCACGGTGTCTCTTTCTACTCAAACAGATTCTTGCATCACGAGTATGACAAGTGATGAGAGTGTTCCAGGAATGGTGGTGGCTGGCTTTGGTGATGGCATCCTTCGGGTTTTTGACTCGCGAAGCAAGCCTGATTATGCTGTCAAGGTGGTAATGAAGGAGCACGCCTCTTGGGTGGTGCAAACGCATATATACCCAGGTGGCAATGAGCTTCTCACGGGGTCCGTCACAGGTGAGCTGAAGTTTTGGGACATGCGGTATCCGAAGAATAGCGTCAGGTCTCTCGAAGCACATCGATCCCCGATGACCGCCCTCGCTGTTCATGACTACGCTCCAATATTTGCCAGGTTCGTTTCCATTGTATGTCTTCGGCCCGCAGAAATGACGCTCATCATTTTGGCTTTTGTTGCCGTGTACGTTACAGTGGGTCACACAATCAATTCATTAAGGTCTTCCGAAGCGATGGCGAGCAGTTGGCACTCATTCGCTATCACGAAGGTTTCCTGGGCGAGCGAATCGGCCCTGTTTCATGCTTAGCCTTCCATCCACATCGGCTGATTCTGGCTGCAGGTGCAACCGACTCGGTGGTTGCTGTATACTCGAGTGATAAGTAAGGCACAACAGCTTTGTTGGTCATCTGACTGCTACAATATTTCGACGTTGCACTGTACGCGTGAATCGAGCAAATGCGTTCGTGTTAGCGGGCTTAGCAAACCGTCAGATGGTGTCACTTCGACGACGTGCTGATGGCTGGAAACTCGGGAAGTGTCGCGCCTGGAAAGCGGTCCCGATCGTGCCTGGCACTGAAGTCGACATTTGGCCCAGCGGGAACAATGCCAAATGGGTTCAGGTGCGTGTGCGAACCATAGTAGTGGAGCTTGATATGCTGCATCGATACCGACTTGGTCACGGGCGGCAATTGGTATATCTCGCGCGTGTACTGGAACCAAACAAACACAAGACAACATGACAGCTCACGTGATTCAATGCATGTACCCATTGACGAGGAGCAGGCAGTACGTATGCTACACACGTACATTGAGCAGGTTCGGGTACTCCGCCAGCATCTTCTTGTTCGCCTTGAAGTGCACGTAGTAGACTTCATCAAAGCGGATCAGCGTCGTGAACAGCCGCAGGTCTGCTTCCGTGAACGTTTGCCCCGTGAGGAATCGCTTTGTGGAAAGAATCGCTTCTGCCCGGTCGAGGCTCTGGAAGAGCGCAGCCACTGCCTCGTCGTACGCGCTTTGCGTCGTCGAGAAGCCGCACTTGTACACGCCATTGTTAATGTTGTTGTAGATCCACTCGTTGAGGGCGTCAATGTCGGCGCGCAGGTCCACTGGGAACAAGTCGACTTTTGACGGCACAATGGCGTCGAACGCCGAGTTGAGCATGCGGACAATGTCGGCCGACTCGTTCGAGACGATCGTGTGCTTGAGCTTATCCCATAGTACGGGCACTGTGTAGCGCGTGTTGCCCTCCGAGCACAGTTCGTACAAGTCCCGCACAAACTGTGCGTTATTTACTGTATCTGGGACAGCACCTTCCGAAGAGTACTGGCCGCGACCCGAAGGACCGGGTAGTGACGGGGTCGTCTTCGGGTCGACAAAGGCCCAACTCATGTGCTGGTCGTTGGGGTCCTGCACCCGCGTGCGCTGGAAGACGGGGTGCACGATTGAAAGACCGATAACGTTTTCCAGCCCTTTCAAGTACACTGTGGCGAGGCACCGGTGTGCCCAGGGACACGCGAGGGACACGTACAGGTGGTACCGGTCCCTCGCAGCCGGAAACTCAGCGTCAGGAGAGGGCTCAATCCACTTGCGGAATTTGCTGGCGTCGCGCTGGAACGCGCCTTTGGTCGAGACGGCCCACGTGGCTTTGGTCGTCATACTGATCGGATGCTGTTTGTGTGCTGGCGCCTCACTTGCGATCGAGGACGTGAGTTGGAATGTGTTGTCGGTTGGGCCAAAGCGGTGGCAGTTGGGCTACTGGATGCAATGGGACAAAAGCGGCTCCGTCGAGACCGTGTGAGGGCGTGCGAAAGGCGGCTCGAGTACGGAGAGAAGGCTCCGGCCGGACGGTACGTTCATTGGGGACAGCGGCGGTGCAATGGGTTGTGCAGATGAGACAAAGGCAAATTGGACGATACGTTGACAGGGAGCGAGCGACATTGGCTTCGATCGTGAGAATTCGTGGGTTCATACAGTGCGCTGCGAAGAGTAACGGTGTCATGTAGATGGGCAGGCAGCAAAGAGGTCTACCGTGTCACATTGAGGCTATATGGTGACCCCAAGCAGCTCTTTGCTACCTGCTGCCCGTAAACAGTGCTGGCGTACCAACTGACGTTTTCCTTTTCAGGATCAGTTTGACGCCGAACTTTCTTAGATTTTGCGCCTAAATTGATTTGCGAATGCAACGATTGACGATTGCAGCACACGACCGCGGCCTTCAAAGGTCCCTTTTGGGTCAGTTGGCCGTGCGATCAGACAACAGGATAGGCGTTTTTATGGGTACAGTCTCGCACTTTGGCTCAAATTCAAAGTCGAGTTGTTGAGTTTTGCAATGGCATATTCTTGTTACGATTATACCTTCTGCTGTTATCTCATCTCGAGTATCGACATTCATTCACCACCTATCAAATTAAGGCCCCCGCCTAAAGCATTGGTCGGATGACCAGCACATTCGCTTCTATCTCCTAGCTAATGCAGCCATTTGATGCTATTTGCAGCAGGTTTTTACAAATTGACATACCGTTTCGTATTAATGCAATTTTTGACTTGCGTTGAGTTGCACGTGTTCGATAGTGCACAACACTATTATATCAATCCGTAGTACTTGCTTGCACTAGTAACTATGTTGACACACAACGTCTAATAAACTTAGTGACATTTTGCGTTCCACTAAACGATCTTGGAAGCATCCCCTGTGGTAGATAATGTTCCACCATAATGCTGATGTAGTCCCGACTTTCGACCGGCTCCCAGACCAACCAACCGGTGTAGCACTCCTATCCCGCGCGTTTGAACTTCTCCACCGTGTGTACGCTCCTGTGAAGCCCTGCACGCTTCTCGATGGTCTTGAGTCGATGCTATACGTGACCGTGTTGAAGATTAATTAAGGAGTCGCTCGTACGGAAATCAACAAGAGGTCGCCCTTATTATTTAGGAAACCTGATACTAAGTCCTCTAATTTTCATCAAGATCGCCTTTGTCCAATACATTGATACTTGGTCCACTTGCCTTCTGACCACTTGAGCCGTCTTGCGAGCTCGTGATTTTCCTGCAAAATTTATTTGCTTCCAATCGCAGTTACGGGGGGGGGGGGTAGTAGAAAGCCTTTGCGGTCCTAGTCCAACTACCCAGGAGCGTTATCTATGACACAATCGCTTTATATTTTTGATGTATAAAGGCCACATAGTCTCTCCATAAAAATTCTCACGTGTTGCTGTATAGGAAATTTTAACCCGGTATATTGTCAACAAATAAAACTTGTAATTTACATCTAGGTCCGTTTGTATGCATTCTTTGTTTAGTGATTTTGTCCACCCTGCATTTTTGTCAATTGTATGGGAGCCCCCCCAGCGTAGCAAAACTGGCGCCATACCGACAAGCACGCATGGAGTACGTCAGTAGGCTATACATATCAAAACAGGGTCTAAAACGACGAGTAGAAGCCGAGATATTGTAAGTTTGAAAGGTGTTCGGGTGACTTGGATCATTAGTGAATGTGGTCCGCACCCACTTAGTTAAAATTCTGGTATTTGGAAGCGCGACTGACTTTTACCGGTCTTGTCGCCGTCGTTTCTTCCATATTCCTTGCGCTTTTGTGGTGGAGTGGTGGTCACAATTTCTTTGTGATCCCGACTCTCCACTGGCGCCCGGACGACCTACTAACGGAGGGGGTGCCCCGATTCCGTGCTCTGTGTCTTCTTGCTCGCCTTGAGTAACCGTCGGTGGGGCGGGTTGCGCTCTTCTTGGTGGACTTGAGTTGAAGCTGAACTTGACAGTTTTGGGGATAGGTGTTGATCGGGTGGAAATTCTTTACCCGGTCAAATGTGAGGCGGATCGAGTGGAAAATTTCCACTCGATCGCAAGTACACTTGAGCTCTATCCCCGAGTCGCCTGTATCAAAAGGTGATGATTGATCCGCGAGCCTTCTGACCACTTGAGCCATCTCGCGATCTTGAGTCTGAACCGTTAGGCTCCCTGCGTCTGATCCCTGTTGGAGGGGGGGGGGGTAGAACTGATGTTACGCCCGGCCAAACAATCCAAAGGCGAAGTTTGTATAGACACCGGTCGCTCTCTTTGTAACGGGAGGCCAAAGATCCTGCCCGGGAAAAGATGACGCGTGCCTTTCGTTGCAAATTCAATTCTGTCTAATGTCAACCAACCAAATCCGAAACCTATGACTATGCCCATCTGTTCGCTAGATCACTGTTGCGTATCGCCTTTCTATTCAATTCACCTCGTGTATCATGTGGTCCACATTAGATACTTGGGTGGCGGATCGCTCCATAGTGGATCGCTAGGTGGTGGATCGCTCGGGGGGTGGATCGCGGTATGTGGTCCATACCAATTATGTGTTCACACAATTATGTATCCACACAATCAAGCGTTACACACACAGGGTGGATCGTGATTAATCTCTCGAGTCTCTGATCGGGCATCCACCGTCGAACCGCCGTTACTTTTGAGACCTCACATGTTTGATGATCTTGACGATCCACTCCTTCAGTTTGCTTCCATATTCACCTATTTTCCAGTGTCGTTAGCGATCCATTACTCTAAAGTATCGCTACCCCTTGAGCGATCCGGTCCTTGTTATTTGGTGATCCAAGACCTTGATTGCGGATATTGATCGGTCAGTCGTCGATCCTTGACTATACTCCTTCTTGACCGTCAGGTAGATCAATCCGCATAATTTACTCAGTCGCTTTCTGTCACTCGGTCGTTTGATCCCATCATTCGTGCCAGCGGGAATAGCTCTGAGCGCACTCCACCAATCAAATCGATCTCGCACATAATGCGGAAGGCGCGATCCACACTTTACATCATTATTCCTCTGCACTTCTCCACATTTTCATCCCTTCTAAATGCTTATCCATATTGTTAATGACTGATTTTTAAGCCTGACATCTAATTGTGTAGTCACAGCATTCTCATGGGTTTGTGTTTCTCTCTTCGATCGCGGATCATGGTATGCGGATCGACCATCGTGTTCAGGGATAAAACGCGGTTACAATATTTAATTCTATACACATTTCCACTTATTTGATATGAACCGGTGTTGATTTACCCTCGTATTTTGAGTTCATTCGTTCCGTGTCAAGCCGCTGTAGGAGGTTCGTACTACCAATTTGTACTCCACCAAATGGGTTCGAATATCGACTTAGACATGCACACTATCCTTTATACCACATTCAAATATTAATCGCTTTAACAGGCTACCTTGGACATGATTCTGTGAGCACAAGTGAAGGCCGTGTCTACCTAACTGGCCTCGAATGAAAGGGCCTTTAAATAATTGATAGTAAGCACCAGCAATATATCCCTCGTTAAATTTTGTTTTTGCTAAACAAATAAAAGCAATATGCCACAACTGTCAAGCGTATGAGCCACGACTGAAGAGGGTGTGGAATGTCCTCCTTCTAATACCAGTATAGCTTTTAACAGCGAATCTGTTGATAACATGCTCGGATCACATATTGATCGGTTTATACGATAGCAAGTAAGAATTGCTGCTGTTTTAGAACTACTTATATAGAATGACGAGGAGCATAAGTTTTGCCGTCTTTGATTTAAAGGTAGCCATAGGAAGTGTTTTGGAGTATTCTTTAAAGAATGTGACGCTGTAGAAGCTCCACTCATCACAGACGTGTCGAAGCTAAGTTATGGCATGTTTGAAAATGGCTGGATGTGCTTAGTATTGGTGCTTTGTCAAAAGCCTTACCTTTACATATTTCTGTATTCGCATATCCTTCAGTCACTAAATTTGGCGTTCTTTTGGAGTCGTGACGCGGCAATCTGAGGTGCAAGCAAAATGACATCACTTATTAGGGTAAGCGTAAGTATTTGACTTACATCTAGTTTATGAAAGCACTGTAATATATACCTACACAGCTACCATGGATTTTGCGAATACTTTTGTAACGGCTCATCTATGCTTTTGTATCTTTCGATGCTAGACATAGAATTTACGATGATGGATCTTGTCGTTTATAAAATGGTATGAGGTCTTCTCCTATCGTCTTGCGAGACAAAATGATATAAAAACTCATCGTTGATGCGCCTAATTAATTATATAATAACGAAGATGTCATGCTTTATTGAAGGCAGTTTGTCCTTTGCTCATAATAGTATATTGTGATAATGTTGTTCGTATTTTTTTGACAACAATCAATGAGCGCAGCAAGACCGACAGAACATTGTCGTGCTGTAAAGGCCATTTTTGCTGTATATAGCAAGTATATTGGTAGGGAGCTAAAGGCATTGGTCGGGCGTCTCCTCCTCTTCCTTACGTAAAACAACATGACAAAATAATATATTCGTGAAGCTCGGGGTTTGTGTTCACAGGAATATTTTGGATGACCTTGAAAGAGACGTTGCAGGGACATTATAGCATATAGATATAAAATATGAATCGGTGGATATGTCTGGATTAAGATACTTATGGCGATGTAAATAAGCGTCAGCATCAAACGAACTTTATATATATTCTTGTTTCATTCAAGTTGCGCATAAACAAGACCAGTATCTGTACTAATTTGCGAAGAAATATGACCCTGAGAGCATTAAAGAACGTAATCTGAGCGTTTCTGTATGAAAAAGGTAGCAAAATTGCAACGGATGTCGCTGCCGAACACAAACATTTTCTAAAATTAGTGGGAGTT